TCACCCTACTCACCCTACTGACCCTACTCACCCTACTGACCCTACTCACCCTACTGACCCTACTGACCCTACTCACCCTACTGACCCTACTCACCCTACTGACCCTACTGACCCTACTCACCCTACTGACCCTACTGACACTACTGACCCTACTCACCCTACTCATCCTACTGACCCTACTGACCCTACTGACCCTACTCACCATACTAACCCTACTCACCCTACTCACCCTACTGACCCTACTCACCCTACTCACCCTACTGACACTACTCATCCTACTAACCCTACTCACCCTACTCACCCTACTGACCCTACTGACCCTACTCACGCTACTGACCCTACTCACCCTACTCACCCTACTGACCCTACTGACCCTACTGACCCTACTCACCCTACTGACCCTACTGACCCTACTCACCCTACTGACCCTACTCACCCTACTCACCCTACTCACCCTACCGACCCTACTCACCCTACTCACCCTACTCACCCTACTGACCCTACTCACCCTACTGACCCTACTGACCCTACTCACCCTACTGACCCTACACATCCTACTGACCCTACTGACCCTACTCACCCTACTGACCCTACTCACCCTACTCACCCTACTGACCCTACTGACCCTACTGACCCTACTCACCCTACTGACCCTACTGACCCTACTCACCCTACTGACCCTACTGACCCTACTCACCCTACTCACCCTACTGACCCTACTGACCCTACTCACCATACTAACCCTACTCACCCTACTCACCCTACTGACCCTACTCACCCTACTGACCCTACTCATCCTACTCACCCTACTGACCCTACTCACCCTACTCACCCTACTCACCCTACTGACCCTACTGACCCTACTCACGCTACTGACCCTACTCACCCTACTGACCCTACTCACCCTACTCACCCTACTCGCCCTACTGACCCTACTGACCCTACTCATCCTACTGACCCTACTCACCCTACCGATCCTACTGACCCTACTCACCCTACCGACCCTACTGACCCTACTCACCCTACTCACCCTACTCACCCTACTGACCCTACTCACCCTACTGACCCTACTCACCCTACTCACCCTACTCACCCTACCGATCCTACTCACCCTACTCACCCTACCGACCCTACTCACCCTACTGACCCTACTGACCCTACTCATCCTACTCATCCGACTGACCCTACTCATCCTACTGACCCTACTCACCCTACTGACCCTACTGACCCTACTCACCCTACTCACCCTACTGACCCTACTCATCCTACTCACCCTACTGACCCTACTCATCCTACTCACCCTACTGACCCTACTCACCCTACCAATCATACTCACCCTACCGAGCCTACTCACCCTACTGACCCTACTGACCCTACTCACCCTACTGACCCTACTGACCCTACTCATCCTACTCATCCGACTGACCCTACTCACCCTACTCACCCTACTGACCCTACTAACCCTACTGAGACTACTCATCCTACTGACCCTACTGACCCTACCGACCCTACTCACCCTACTGACCCTACTGACCCTACTCATCCTACTGACCCTACTCACCCTACTCACCCTACTCACCCTACTGACCCTACTCACCCTACTGACCCTACTCACCCTACTCATTAAGTCAACTAAAACTAGAAGTGGCAAATCTTGACCCGGACATTTTTTGCCTAACAGAAACATTTCTCACTCCTGCCGTCAATGACTTGCAGATTACGATTGACAACTACAACCTTTTTCGGCTTGACCGAGGATCTAAAGGAGGTGGAATTGCCATCTATGTTCGTAATACTATTGCATGTTCACCAGCTCACTCCTTGTTTAAAAAATGTTGCTTTGAAGGTTTGGCTCTCAGAATAACTCTCCCAAATAATCAACAGATATTGGTAGTGTGCTGCTATAGACCGCCTAGTGGGAAGGATGTTGAAGCTGCATCGGCACTGAGAGAGCTTTTGGGGGGCCTCCCTAAAGGTGAAATAGTTTAAGTGGGTGATCTAAATTGGAATTGGCTAAACCCACTGGCCGTGGCCACAAATTTTACAGATGAATTTAACCTGTTTCAATTAATAAATGTCCCCAAAAGACCTAACCTAAAAAATCCGGGACAGTCAACTCTGCTTGACGTCCTATTGACAAATGTCCCTCACAATTTCGCACTGACTGGTGTTCTGGGTAATAACCTTAGTGATCACTCCTTCATTTTTGGGGTGAGATCATCAGCCAGACTCAAAGCCCCCCCTAAAATTGTTGAGAAGCACTCTTTGAGGCACTTCAGCACTCAGGCATTTACAAATGATGTGCTTCACACGGATATTGATAAGGTCTGTGATATCCCCAACCTGACTACGGCTTGGGAGACTTTCAGGTACACGTTTCTCAAAATTCTTAACAAACATGCTCCATTGGTTAGATTTAAAATAAAATGCAACCGCCCACCATGGTATGATCCTTTGATTACAAAGCTCATGAAAACTAGAGACAAGGCTTGGGCATGTGCTCAGAAAAGTAATTTGGTAAATGACTGTCTAGAATACAGGATTTTAAGGAATAGATGCGTAAAAAAATACGGCATGCAAAAAATGCCTACTTTTCCTCCACTCTCCTGGAATCACATGGAAATGCCAGGATTTTTTGGAAAACAATCAAATCTATCGAAAAGGCATCCAAAACAGACAATCTGCCCGTTGAGCTTAACTGAAATGGGGAATATTTTTCAGATCCCAAAAAAATAGTTGACAATTTTACCTTCATTTTTCTGAAGCTGGTAATCTTTTTGATAATGTATTGGGAGTCACCCCTGCTCCTGCAAATTCCTACACCCCTGTCCAAACATTAAAGGAATTTAGTTTCCAACCAATCCACGAAAGTAATGTTCTGAAACAACTGTCCTACCTCAAAGGGTCCTCCTCTACCGGAGCAGATAGTTTTCCCGTCTTTGCTCTACTAACTGTTGGTCACCTAATTTACAAACCTATAGCCCATATTTTCAACCTGTCCATCAAATAAGCATCAGTTCCTCTAGAATGGAAACATTCCTATGTCCGTCCACTTCACAAAGGGGGCCCTAAAGATGATCCCAATAACTACCGACCTATCTCAATTTTGTCCCCATTGATGAACATTTTTGAAAAATTATTGAACTACCAAATTGGCAGTTTCCTTCAACCAACAATCTACTACATCTAAAACAATCTGCGTTCCGAAAAAAATACAGCACCACATCTGCTGTATTAGACTCTTTGAATCAAATTTACAATAGCCTTGATAATAAGCAGTACTGTGCCTGTCTTTTTCTTGACCTGGCCAAAGCTTTTGATACAGTAAACCACAACACCCTGCTTAGTAAACTAAGTTGCCTCGGTTTTTCCGAGAACACAGTACAATGGTTAAAAATTACCTATTTTCTCGCACCCAAACTGTATTCACAGATGGTTGGAGGTCAAACAGTGTTAAGATAACAAAAGGGGTTCCACAGGGTTCCATCCTCGGCCCCCTCTTGTTCTCTCTTTATGTCAATGACTTCGGCACTGACCGGGATCATTCCAGGGTAAATATTTTTGCAGATGTCACGATACTGATTACTGTTGGCCGCTCTCCGGATGACGTGATTGCTAAGCTCCAGGGTGATTTCAACAAACTACAACATCAGCTAGTTTCTCTTAAACTAGTCTTGAATACCTCCAAAACCAAGGTGCTATGCTTCTCACCGGGATTAAAGCAGGAAGTTATTTTTCCCCAATTACATTTCTTGAATAATTATCAAATAGAGCAAGTTAAGATCTATAAGTATCTTGGGGTCATCCTGGATTCAAAACTTAATTTTGAAGATCACATTGATTATATTGGTAAAAAGACAAAAATAAAAATTGGTTTTCTGTATCGACACAATCACTGTTTCCCCCCAATGTTCCGTTTGGAATTGATAAAAGCTACCATACTGCCTCTACTTGACTACTGTGACATCGTGTATAAATCAGCCCCAATTACTGTATTGAAGAAGCTTGATTCCATCTATCACTCGGCCTTAAGATTTGCATTGAACTGCCCATATAGGACTCACCACTGTGATCTCTACATTGGGTCAAACTTAACATCTCTTAATGTTCGACGGTTTGTGCACCAGATCTTATTTATTCACGATGTACTTACAAAAAAATCCGCAGACTACCTGCTGCTGGATCTCCTCTCTGTTTCAAAGAACAAATTTGACCTCAGGTCTTCGCTCATTTACCAGCTTCACATTCCCTAATTGCCGTACTAAAACTGGAGGAAGGGCCTTTGCTATTGATGCCCCCAGGGTCTGGAATGCTATTGCCAATAAACTGCAACTTGAATCACTACCTATGAGATCTTCACTCAAAACTGCTCTAGAGGAGTTGTACACCCCTAGCTGCCACTGCTATTCAGTGGCCTAAAATATGGCTCTAGATTTTGGTGTTATAATTTATTTATGTAGTTTATTGTTAAAAAAATCGGTCACAGTCCCTATGATCACTGTTACATTGCATTTATGGCTTTTATTTTGATTTCGAAAACGTTTTTTTTGTTTTGGCCGTGTTTTTGTTTATTGTATACAGAGTTAGACTGATGTCCTTAATCATAGTTTTCTTGTGGTTGTTGTTGTTAGTTGACTTGCATCCCACTGGGATTTTTTGCACACAGCGTTGGTGTACGGTGCTATTTCAGGAATATTTTGCTGTTTTTTCCTGGATTTTCTGTTTGCACAGTCACATAATCACTTTAAGATGTTTTCTTGTTCATGTTTTTGTTTGTTGCGGTTGCACCCGATTCAAGAGCCGAATGGCTCACAGGGCTATACCAAATAAATGAACTATGAACTATGAACCGAAAGAACCAAAGAGGTTAACGGATCGATACCAACTGAAATACAAAATCGATTCCTGTTCAAAATCGCGATTCCTGTCGACACGGGGAGAGGAATCGCGATTCCTGTCGACGCGGAGAGAGGAATCGAGCGGCGAGTTCCACGCGCGCACCGCCAGCGAGCGTCGGGTCGAACGCGGGAGGAATCGATTCCAACAAACGGGGTCGACGACGCTCGATGGTTTATGAGTCGGATCGCCGGAGTCCAATGGTGCCCGCTCACGAGTTGGAACAGAGGAAGAAGAGCGAATGACGAAGAGGTGGTGGCGGTGACGAAGTGGTGGCGGTGACGAGGTGGTGACGGTGACGAGGCGGTGACGAGGTGGCGGTGACGAGGAGATGGTGTAGTGACGTGGTGGTGGTGACGAGGTAGGGGGTGAGGACGGTGACGAGGTGGTGGTGACGGTGACGAGGTAGGAGGTTGTGACGGTGACGAGGTAGGGGGTGGTGACGGTGACGAGGTGGTGACGAGGTGGTGGTGGTGGAGGAGACGCGGCGCCATGGCCAAGGACCTCCCGCCCGGGAACCCGGAGCTGATCGCCGCCATCGTTGATCACCTCAAGTCTCAGGGACTCTTCGACCAATTCCGCAGAGACTGCCTAGCGGACTTCGACACCAGGGTGCGAGAGGGGAGACACGGGCAGAGAGACACGGGCAGAGAGACACGGGGAGAGATACACGGGGAGAGAGACGGGCAGAGAGACACGGGCAGACAGACACGGGCAGAGAGACACGGGCAGAGAGACACGGGCAGAGAGACACGGGCAGAGAGACACGGGCAGAGAGACACGGGCAGAGAGACACGGGCAGAGAGACACGGGGAGAGAGAGAGAGAGACACGGGCAGAACGAGACACGGGCAGAGAGGGGAGACAGCAGAAGGCACAGCTACATGAAGACACTAAGGGCACAGGCATGGAAGAAGCAGAGCACAGGGAGCCAGAGAGACTCACCCAGAGAGACTCACACAGAGAGACTCACACAGAGAGCCTCACACAGAGAGACTCACCCAGAGAGACTCACCCAGAGAGCCTCACACAGAGAGACTCACCCAGAGAGACTCACCCAGAGAGACTCACCCAGAGAGACTCACCCAGAGAGACTCGCCCAGAGAGACTCACCCAGAGAGACTCACCCAGAGAGAGAGTCCTAGAGAGACTCACCCAGAGAGACTCACCCAGAGAGACTCACCCAGAGAGACTCACCCAGAGAGAATCACCCAGAGAGACTCACCCAGAGAGACTCACCCAGAGAGAATCACCCAGAGAGACTCACCCAGAGAGACTCACCCTTAGAGACTCACCCAGAGAGACTCACCCAGAGAGACTCACCCAGAGAGATTCACCCAGAGAGACTCACCCAGAGAAGCTCACCCAGAGAGACTCACCCAGAGAGACTCACCCAGAGAGACTCATCCAGAGAGACTCACCCAGAGGGACTCACACAGAGAGACTCACCCAGAGAGACTCACCCAGACAGAGACCCAGAGAGACTCACCCAGAGAGACTCACCCAGAGAGACTCACACAGAGAGACTCACCCAGAGAGGCTCACCCAGAGAGAGAGACCCAGAGAGACTCACCCAGAGAGACTCACCCACAGAGACTCACCCAGAGGGACTCACCCACAGAGACTCGCCCAGAGAGACTCGCCCAGAGAGGCTCACCCAGAGAGACTCACCCAGAGAGACTCACCCAGAGAGACTCACCCAGAGGGACTCACACAGAGAGACTCACCCAGAGAGACTCACCCAGAGAGAGACCCAGAGAGACTCACCCAGAGAGAGACCCAGAGAGACTCACCCAGAGAGAGTCCCAGAGAGACTCACACAGAGAGACTCACCCAGAGAGAGAGCCCCAGAGATACTCACCCAGAGAAGCTCATCCAGAGAGTCTCACCCAGAGGGACTCACCCAGAGGGACTCACACAGAGAGACTCACCCAGAGAGACTCACACAGAGAGACTCACCCAGAGAGAGTCACCCAGAGAGACTCACCCAGAGAGAGACTCACCCAGAGAGACTCACCCAGAGAGACTCACCCAGAGAGAGAGACCCAGAGATACTCACCCAGAGAAGCTCATCCAGAGAGACTCACCCAGAGGGACTCACACAGAGAGACTCACCCAGAGAGACTCACCCAGAGAGACTCACCCAGAGGGACTCACCCAGAGAGACTCACCCAGAGAGACTCACCCAGAGAGACTCACCCAGAGAGACTCACCCAGAGAGAGAGACCCAGAGAGACTCACCCAGAGAGACTCACACAGAGAGACTCACACAGAGAGACTCACCCAGAGAGAGCCCCAGAGAGACTCACCCAGAGAGACTCACCCAGAGAGAGAGACCCAGAGAGACTCACCCAGAGAGACTCACACAGAGAGACTCACCCAGAGAGACTCACCCAGAGAGAGACCCAGAGACTCACCCAGAGAGACTCACACAGAGGGACTCACACAGAGAGACTCACCCAGAGAGACTCACCCAGAGAGACTCACCCAGAGGGACTCACACAGAGAGACTCACCCAGAGAGAGGCCCAGAGACTCACCCAGAGAGACTCACACAGAGGGACTCACACAGAGAGACTCACACAGAGAGACTCACCCAGAGAGACTCACCCAGAGAGACTCACCCAGAGAGCCTCACACAGAGAGACTCACCCAGAGAGACTCACCCAGAGAGACTCACCCAGAGAGACTCACCCAGAGAGACTCGCCCAGAGAGACTCACCCAGAGAGACTCACCCAGAGAGAGAGTCCCAGAGAGACTCACCCAGAGAGACTCACCCAGAGAGGCTCACCCAGAGAGACTCACCCAGAGAGACTCACCCAGAGAGACTCACCCAGAGAGACTCACCCAGAGAGAATCACCCAGAGAGACTCACCCAGAGAGACTCACCCTTAGAGACTCACCCAAAGAGACTCACCCAGAGAGACTCACCCAGAGAGACTCACCCAGAGAGAATCACCCAGAGAGACTCACCCAGAGAAGCTCACCCAGAGAGACTCACCCAGAGAGACTCACCCAGAGAGACTCACCCAGAGAGACTCACCCAGAGAGACTCACCCAGAGGGACTCACACAGAGAGACTCACCCAGAGAGACTCACCCAGACAGACCCAGAGAGACTCACCCAGAGAGACTCACCCAGAGAGACTCACCCAGAGAGACTCACACAGAGAGACTCACCCAGAGAGGCTCACCCAGAGAGAGAGACCCAGAGAGAGAGACCCAGAGAGACTCACCCAGAGAGACTCACCCACAGAGACTCACCCAGAGGGACTCACCCACAGAGACTCACCCAGAGAGACTCGCCCAGAGAGGCTCACCCAGAGAGACTCAGCCAGAGAGACTCACCCAGAGAGACTCACCCAGAGGGACTCACACAGAGAGACTCACCCAGAGAGACTCACCCAGAGAGAGACCCAGAGAGACTCACCCAGAGAGAGACCCAGAGAGACTCACCCAGAGAGAGACCCAGAGAGACTCACACAGAGAGACTCACCCAGAGAGAGAGACCCAGAGATACTCACCCAGAGAAGCTCATCCAGAGAGACTCACCCAGAGGGACTCACACAGAGAGACTCACCCAGAGAGACTCACCCAGAGAGACTCACCCAGAGAGAGACTCACCCAGAGAGACTCACCCAGAGAGACTCACCCAGAGAGAGAGACCCAGAGATACTCACCCAGAGAAGCTCATCCAGAGAGACTCACCCAGAGGGACTCACACAGAGAGACTCACCCAGAGAGACTCACCCAGAGAGACTCACCCAGAAGGACTCACCCAGAGAGACTCACCCAGAGAGACTCACCCAGAGAGACTCACCCAGAGAGACTCACCCAGAGAGAGAGACCCAGAGAGACTCACCCAGAGAGACTCACACAGAGAGACTCACCCAGAGAGACTCACCCAGAGAGAGAGACCCAGAGAGACTCACCCAGAGAGACTCACCCAGAGAGACTCACCCAGAGAGAGAGACCCAGAGAGACTCACCCAGAGAGACTCACACAGAGAGACTCACCCAGAGAGACTCACCCAGAGAGAGACCCAGAGACTCACCCAGAGAGACTCACCCAGAGAGACTCACCCAGAGAGACTCACCCAGAGAGACTCACCCAGAGAGAGACCCAGAGAGACTCACCCAGAGAGAGACCCAGAGACTCACCCAGAGAGACTCACCCAGAGAGACTCACCCAGAGAGACTCACACAGAGAGACTCACCCAGAGAGACTCACCCAGAGAGAGACCCAGAGAGACTCACCCAGAGAGACTCACCCAGAGAGACTCACCCAGAGAGACTCACCCAGAGAGACTCACCCAGAGAGACTCACCCAGAGAGAGACCCAGAGACTCACCCAGAGAGACTCACCCAGAGAGACTCACCCAGAGAGACTCACACAGAGAGACTCACCCAGAGAGACTCACCCAGAGAGAGACCCAGAGACTCACCCAGAGAGACTCACCCAGAGAGACTCACCCAGAGAGACTCACACAGAGAGACTCACCCAGAGAGACTCACCCAGAGAGAGACCCGACTTACTCACTCGACACCCCGGCTCAGGCTCGACCCCTGAGGCTCGTCAGAGCCGCAGTGAGAACTCGCGGCTTCGTCCACCACCACGCTGAGGTGACGAGACCTCGCCTGTCGATGCTCCGTGGTCTACGGGTCGTCCCCTAGGTCGACTCAGCCTTAAATTAGTACCTGGTGCGGTGTGTAAACAGCGCCACTATGGAGACAAAGGCGGCCGGGCGTGGTGCTGGCCACCCACCCCCTCGTGTGCCGCGTGTCGGCCTTCATAGGAGCACTTGCCCCAGCAGTCTGTGCAGGCTGTACGGGGGAGCTTTGTCTTGTGCTGTGTGCATGATATGGTTTAAAGAAACCCCGTGTTGGGTCGGCCGGCCACACTCACACCTTATTCTGTTTTGCAGCCAGCTTACCAAAACCTCCGCGAGAGAATGGATTCGTTCGTGTCCAATCACTTGGGGCACCAGAACTGGACTCCGGATATCAACAAAAATCAAATGAGAAACGGGCTACGGCAGACAATCCTGCAGTGAGTTTCTCTCCCCCTAGCTGGACCGCGCTGCGTCGCCCGTTGCTTGAACTACTACTGTCACATTCACGACTGTGTGTGCGCACGTTATATGTAAATTAAACCATAATATACGGGTTTTTTTTGCATGTTCTGTTCACGTGACAAACATTTCTAATTGGCTGTGTGTCGGGTGGTGGCGGGTTTAACGTCACATTTATATTTATGCGATCTCACCCCCCAAAAAAACGATATGGATGGATGATATTGGTCGCGAAAGCCTACCTACGTGTTTAACTATATAGATATAAGTAGAGCGTCATTTTGCTTTGTGTTGCTCAGTCACCCTCGAGGAACACTTTGGTCGCGCACGGTGTGCGACGGTAGTGGTGGCACCTCGGCTAATGCCACGTGCAGGACAAGTGGCAGGGTCTGCAATGTGCGACGACTGCTCATCGAGCCCCTTGCCTCTTGAGACCCGTGGAATGTGTCCCAGCTCGCAGAGTAAACGCATCTAATGTTCTCCACTTTACCGAAATTCAGTGACCGATGCGTGCGCGGTAATCTTGAAGCGGTGACCATCAAACCACACCAAGGCAAAATGTTCACGCGCGATTGTGTGTTTTGTTTTTTTTAAACTTAAAACTTTCGCGACTGCAGGAATTCACATTCTTGGTCCTTTCGGTAAAGTCACGTAGGTAAAAAAAATAAAATACGGTAAAAAAAATAAATGGAAAATAATAAAAGCGACGGGCCCACGATGTTTCGACCGCTTGTGTTGCGATCGAAACGTAGTGGGGTTTCTTTTGCTTTTATTATTGTCAATTTATTTTAATTTATTTAAATTTTCTGTCTTCATGACTTTACCGAAACACGGTTGTGTGTTGTTTGTCAGTGTGTTCACGTCCTCTGGATGTCGGAGCAGAATCTGCGTTGAGAAATCATCGCTTCTGCAGCAAAGAATACTTTTGATTTGCACGATCCACCAAAAGCTGTTGAAATTTCGGTCATTAATTTGATGAACGTAAAATAGAACACTATGTGTATATGGGCGTTTAACAAATAAAATATTAAATGAATCCCCAAACTAAACTTAAAGACAAAAAAAATACATCTTCTTTGGTTCTTTCGGTAAAGTCACGTAGAATGAGAATAAAATAATAAATTGATAAAATAAAATAACACAATAATTATTATTTTATTCTCATTCTACGTGACTTTACCGAAAGAACCAAAGAAGATGAATCCTTGCAGTCACGAAAGCTTTAAATCGAAAAAAAAATACATCAAACTGGGAGTGGGAGAAAACATTTCACTAAATGAAGTTACATTTTTCACTGAATTTGATCAAACAACAAAAACATGCATTATCTGCTCACAGTATTTATCCTAAACAACTTCTGGGCATTTGTATTGTAATTTAAATCTGTACAGTAATTGTTTTTCCCATTTTCATCATGATCACGCACATGTCCTGACCCCAAAGTGTATTTTGGCGTAAACAATTTTTTTAAATCTGGTGAATAGTTCTCATTGTGTAGACTCGGGTGTGTGTGTGTGTATATACCTCCTCATATATTGAACGCTTGTGGCTTTTCAGGTCGGGCATGCTGGAGTCTGCCGTGAACCGCATCGTCCATCAAGTGGTCAATCCAAAGATCAGCACGTTCTTTCGGCCGCAGATCGAAAACGTGGTGCACGAGTATCTGGGCGTGGACGAGGAGGGAGAGGTTGTGGCAGCAGGAGCAGCAGCAGGAGCAGGAGCAGCAGCAGGAGCAGCAGCAGGAGGAGGAGGAGCGGCTCCCCCTCCTCCGCTCCCTCCTATGGACACCGACTCCCAGGATCCGCACGCTCCACCGGCGTTGGAAGCCGAGGCAGCAGCAGCAGCAGCCACTGACGTTGCCACAACGGAGGAGGCTCCATATTCGCAGTAGTGCAGGCGAAGCGTCGCAACTTTTATTTGTGCCTGTCAAGAGCTTGTTTTCATAACAAGTGTTTGGTTGTTGTCTTTGAGAGACGTCATTATGAACTGAGCATGTTGTCTTTTTTTAGAGATAGTCTATATTTGGTTTTATTCGGTTGTGGTTTTTTTTCCCTCTGTAAACATTTACAAAGACACATTTAAGAACCAATATTCTTAAGCATGTTTGGATTTTTTTTTACTGTGACGATGTTTTATAATTGTCATTATATTGTAAAAATGTGTTTGTAGCTCTCATCAACCAGTCCGCGAAATGGGCAAAACTAATTTAATGATTTTGATTTAAAGCTTTCGTGACTGCAGTGATTCATATTTTTGGTTCTTTCAGTAAAGTCACGTTGAAGGGAAAACAATAAAATATATACTTTAATGAAATATATATTTTATTATTTTACCGAAAGAACCAAAAGAATGTTTAATGCTAAATTAATATTGTATGTTGCGTCTGATCAGCTGGCATATAGTTAATGTGTACTTAGTTGAGCTGTTAGGAATTCAAACCCCAAATTATATTTTTTCAGTGAAAAAGTTCAGTTGCCTCTCCTCTTCGCCCCCAAATTCTTCCCAGTAATGAACCGAGTAAAATGTCAAACTAAATTCGTATGTTCTCACGCTGTGTACTTTGAATCCATCTCACAACACAAAACCCAAATATGTCCTCGAGCCTAAGGGGCTTTCAAACTGGTTTAGAATAATGTATTTAGAAGGCAAAAGAGCCACACATCTGTCTCCCTTCTGGGTCTCGTAATCAATCAGGCTCATGAAACACTGCCAGATTATCGGATGTTATTGGCAAGAGTACTGCATCTTCAAGATGCAGCCATGTTTGGCACACCTAATTAAAAAAAAAAAACTTGTATTGTTAAGCATTATGGGTAAATAAACAAATGTAGACTTGCGTCTGTTCACGCTGTTATTTTACAACAGTCTCTGGTCCAAGGCGATATTATCCAGCAGCATTTGTTTAAGAAGGTTAATTTAGCGAGTTTCGATTGTCTGGGCCTCATCAGGGTTTCATTCTAGATTTTAAGTTTTCGTGACTGCAAGGATTCATACTCTTTGGTTTTTTCGGTAAAGTCGCATAGTTATTAATTAAAATAAATTAAATCACGACGTTTCGGGCGGCCGAAACGTCGTGATTTAATTTATTTTAATATTTTTTTTACCTACGTGACTACCGAAAAAACCAGAGTACTCATCAGGGTTTGTAAATGCTTCTGGATTGGAAGATGTCTCGCTGTGTCAAAGCTGGTCCAGTGTTCTGTTCAATACTGCTGGACAGCAGTCCACGTGGGTGAAACTGCTGTAGCACAAAAATTATTTCTTCTATAAAAAGGCAATGTTTGGTAATTTATAACCTTTATTTAAACACGGATGCCGTTGCAAATGTACATTTCACGTGTGACTTAAGTACTATTCTATACACGAGTCACTGATGAAACTGAACTCATAATTGACAAACACTTCAGCAAAATATTCATTAATATGTAAATGCAACTATTGACCATTTTTAAATGTATGTATTTGGAAAATATAAATGCTTAAAACACAATAAATAAAGCATTTTTTAATCACAATAAGAACTTTGGACACTTCCATGACGATATGGAGCAAAATACATTAATCTTTCACGGATACTTGGCGAGATAAATGCATAATAATAGAGCAGGCCCTTAAACTAAGCTCATAGGCCCCAGAGTAATGAGGTGGGAACTCCACACTATTGTTTCCAGAGGCAGAATTTGCAGCGGTGAACATTGGTGACTGCCGATGAGTCCTAATGGGAACGAAACCAGTCCAGATTTTTGTCACTGCTGGTTTATGGTGACCGAATATGAAGACCGCAGTGCATTTCTTACGGAACTGTTGATGATTTTCTCTTTTTCACATTGCAGAGGCTGTTTTTTTTTGCACACTTGTCATTTGAAACCTGTGGTCTTCCAGCCTGCCCTATGAATCGGTGATGGGTTTTTGTCGTAATTTAAAGATTTGACTGGATCAATCGTGCAGAACCTGCACGTGGAAGGAACTTAAAAGTTCAAAACTAATTAAAAAAAAATTAGTTACAGTAAATCCATTTTCGAAAATTGTTGGCTCAATGCAAGGCCTGTTATACACGGTTACAGCTCGTAAGCAAAATATCATTTTCACAGATGCTGGGAAACAGGAATGTACATTTGCATTCTAATATGCAATGGGTGATTGTGACAATTAGTTACCTTTGCTTAACTACAACACACACTCATGTCCACATAGTTTATCCATGCGCCACCTACAAAAGGATTACGACAGTTAAATACGCCGTTTATACATTTTAGTCCACAACGAATTCATTATCAGGGTAAAACACCTGAAATTAAATATTAACGAGTTTATTTTCCCATCCCGTAAATTAACGCTCCATTTTTATTACACTAAAAAACCTCGACTCCCACAAATATACGTTTGTTTAACACGTAGGCTTTCGCCACCAATATCCATAATACAGGTTTTTTTTTGGGTTATATCGCATGAATACAAATGTGTCGTTACTCTCCAACACACAACCGGTGTGCTGTACTCGTGACGAATCGGCACGTTCTGTTTACGTGACAAACCTTACTAATTATGAATGATACGTTTACTCAACGATGGAATTCAACGAAAGCTCAGACTCGACGAAAGGGCATGGTGACGCAGTGGTGACACTGGTGTCTCAGAGGAAGGCTCTCCCTGGGTTCGACTCCCAACTCGGGCGCCTTGTGGAGTTTGCATGTTCTCCCCCTGTGTTCTGCGTGGGCTTTCTCCGGTTTACTTCCATCGGTTTAAAAAAAACATACAAACATCCCAATGCTGCAAAAATGTACCCGCAAATTGAAACGAGATTTTACACAGGGCAGCATTGTCCACCACCACGACAACTTGGCAGTAGCCACCTAAAACATAATTGAGACTCGATGTGGCTTTCCAAGATTAAACAAGCATAATAATAAAACAATGAAAGCGGCTAACATTCTAACAATGCACTCATGGAAGCAAAGCTTGAGTGGTGTGATCTGAATCGCAATACTGCAATGCAACTGGCCAGTAATGTTACCTGCATTGTCAAGCAGACTGAAAACCACAAGGTTAATATTTTTTACTTGCATAGACAACAGTTTTTGCTCATGTCGCAGATACGCTCATCTTACACGTAGCTACATTACCGAAGGGGATGAATAAATTCAGGAAATGCTTGGTTGTGAAATAGTTTAGTAAAAAAAACCACATTTAATGAAAGGAGATAATTACAGCTTAATGAAAATTATACTTTTGTGAACTTTTCCTTAACGTTGTAATTTTCTCTGTTTCTATATACAGCATGCGTTGGTAATATTTCACCCCAACCACACAAAGAGAGTTATGCGACAGAGTCTGCATCGTCACCACGAAGGCATGCTGTGCTCGTGGTGCCAATATGGCTTATTGCAATTGCTCGACGTTTAATGAGCAAACACGAATCCGGGGCAGCGGGGAGGTGGTAGCCTTCAGGCTCTGTTAAGAGAGGGATCACGAATTGATGCCATCAACCCGGCGGCTCGACATCAATCAGCGATCATTGCAGAAGAACAACTCAAGCGGCCGTAAACGGCCCTTCCCAGGGCCAGACGATACGTGCTCTCAGATGGGTCCTGGAATGAGGATCCTCCAACGCAACATTGAGGAACTTAAATTTCGATTTTAAAGCTTTCGTGACTGCAAGGATTCATCTTCTTTGGTTCTTTCGGTAAAGTCACGCAGAATGAGAATAAAATAATAAATTGATAAAATAACAATAATATTCTCACGACGTTTCGGCCACAACACAAGCGGCCTTCATCAGGTGAAGGGACGAGATCTGGTAGCACTGTCCTACCAGACAGTCTCGTCCCTTCACCTGATGAAGGCCGCTTGTGTTGTGGCCGAAACGTCGTGAGAATATCATTGTGTTATTTTATTTTATCAATTGAGGAACTTTCCTGGACGGAGCACCCGGAAGAGACCCGTGGGACGTAAAAACGACGACTCAACGCCCGAATCACAAACATGAAGGGAGGTAGCGATCGCGGCGAGGACTGAGTCACTGCTCCCGACGAGATGATTTGGCTCAACCGCTGCAAAGTAAAATGATGGCAGATTTTTAAAAGGTCAAATGAAATGTGCCACGCTCATTGAAAGAAAAACGTCGAAACGCGTTTGAGGTTGTTAACACCGTTGCAAGTCCTCGTGTTCACTTTATCATGGGCCATTGCGCGAGCCTCGGAAATTCGGTGCACGCGTTGGAGACATCCGTTCGGCTTCCGCACGAGGCGGCGAGAGCTGTGGACGTGACCTCGTGAGTACAATGCCAGATGCAAGAAGAATGCGCAAGTAAACGTTCAAACGGTCCAATTCAATTATTGGCCGACGTTAATCTTCGTCCAATTTTGGTGAAACTGAGCCAAGGTCGAACCCAGGGGGTCCGGCAACCAAAATAACAATAAGGGGCATTTTTGTTCCGAATTCGGTAAAAAAAATAAACTAGATATTTCACAAGCCGCAGTGCACCGTGGTGAGTACGAGACGGCGCTGGCCCTGAATAAACAACGTCACGAAGCGGTCCCCAAAGATCCACGTGCAGCTCCAGAGCCGCACGTTTTTGCCGACCCCTGGTCTGACCAATGCGATGTTCGTTGGCCATGTGCTTCACCATCATCATCATCATCATTTCCCATCACCATCACCACCCATCACCATCGCCCATCGTCGACCTGGGCGACGTTTGGGGAGGGAGGGGGGGACAATGGCCCCCTCCCCCCCAAACTGGACACCGTTATTAATTTATTTTTAATAGTTTACAATTAAGAAAAAAATAATGATATGCACCCGCGATTCCTAATGTGAGGCACAAAGCGAACCTCTGCCCCACCAACCCCCCCCCCCCCCAATTAGACTCCGCCTGTGAGGATGGATGACCACTTTGGTGGCGATGGTGCAGCAGTGCTGTGGCTTTTGGGATCAGGTGCGGCGGCAGTGGTCACGAGGATATCGGGTAGAGGAGCCGGGTGCTCCCTCGCACGGTCTGCTGGTTCCCAATGAGCGTGAGCGGCATCAGCTCGTAGTGCTCGATCATCTCCGGCACGCTGTTGAATCTCTAGAGAAGGGAAGGAGTAAGAAAAACGTTGAAAGTGCGGTACGTTCAGAAAAGCAGCTCGTTTTTGCATTCTCATGTTGTGAAGATGTCTAGAAAGCGCCTTGTTCCAAGGCGCTTTACAACATTTGTAATATTGTACATTTGATTGAAATTAAGATTGGGCTCGTTAAAAGTGGTGGTGTGGTGATGGTGACAGGAGAACACGTGGGAGAGGTTAAGGAGGGGTTGGGGTAGTGATAGGGGTTGGGGTAGTGATGGGGGTTGGGGTAGTGATAGGGGTTGGGGTAGTGATAGGGGTTGGGGTAGTGATAGGGGTTGGGGTAGTGATAGGGGTTGGGGTAGTGATAGGGGTTGGGGATAGTGATAGGGGTTGGGGTAGTGATAGGGGTTGGGGTAGTGATGGGGGTTGGGGTAGTGATAGGGGTTGGGGTAGTGATGGGGGTAGTGGTAAGGGTTGGGGTAGTGATAGGGGTTGGGGTAGTGATAGGGGTTGGGGTAGTGATAGGGGTTGGGGTAGTGATGGGGGTAGTGATAGGGGTTGGGGTAGTGATAGGGGTAGTGATAGGGGTATTGATAGGGGTTGCGGTAGTGATAGGGGTTGGGGTAGTGATAGGGGTTGGGGATAGTGATAGGGGTTGGGGTAGTGATGGGGGTTGGGGTAGTGATAGGGGTTGGGGTAGTGATAGGGGTTGTGAAAGGGGTTGGGGTAGTGATAGGGGTTGGGGTAGTGATAGGGGTTGGGGTAGTGATAGGGGTTGGGGTAGTGATAGGGGTTGTGATAGGGGTTGGGGTAGTGATGGGGGTAGTGGTAGGGGTTGGGGTAGTGATAGGGGTTGTGATAAGGGTTGGGGTAGTGATAGGGGTTGGGGTAGTGATAGGGGTTGGGGTAGTGATAGGGGTTGTGATAGGGGTTGGGGTAGTGATAAGGGTTGGGGTAGTGATAGGGTTGGGGTAGTGATAGGGGTTGGGGTAGTGATAGGGGTTGGGGTAGTGATAGGGGTTGGGGTAGTGATAGGGGTTGGGGTAGTGATAGGGGTTGGGGTAGTGATAGGGGTTGTTTTCACACCTGATGATGATTGCTTGTGTTGCAGTCGAAACGTCGTGAGAATTTTATTGTTTTATATTTTTATTATTTTATTGTTTCCCTTCTACGTGACTTTACCGAAAGAACCAAGAATATGAATCCCTGCAGTCACGAAAGCTTTAAATAAAAAATAGTTCATAGAACTTCGTTTGCCTGTACCAAAATATGAGAATAGGTTTTCCCCTTTTTTCTGGCAACAAAACAGGTGTTAAAATGTTAAAACACCAAATTGAAACCTTTTACAAGGAATCATGTCTGCATATTATCAGAGTGTGTTTTTTGTTTGCATTCTCACCACAAGAATTGTGGTTAATGCAGATACGATTCCTTGTAAAAGGTTTCAGTTTGGTGCTTTAACATCTCAACACACCTGCTTTGTTGCCAGAAAAAAGGGGAAAACCTATTCTCAGTTTAAAGTTTAGTTTCATTTTTTTTTTAATGTCTGGAGCCTGGACACCCACGACACGCACAGCGGCTGCAACGAAGCACCAGGTGGTTACGTATCCGTGAGACACAAATGCCGCGTTACCTCCTCGCCCGCCTTCTCCATGCCGAGGGCGTACTTCTGCTCGGCCTCCACGTAGCGGATCTGGATGTTGAACACGGTCCTTTTGAAGTACACCACCAGCGTGTACGGCTGGTTCTGCTGATGCCCGGAGCTTCTCCGCACCATGAACGCTCCGTCCTGCAAGAGGCCCCAGCCGCCGGCCGGCACGTAAGGCAGCATTTGTCTGATGCGGGCAGCGCAACTTGGCACCAGGGACTGTGGGCTGGAAGGGCCCCATTTAATTGCTTGCACCAGGGCCCATGCCAACCACACTCGTACACCACCGAGAGTATACCTCCAGCAATTTATATGAAAGGACCATTGATTTCTTCTGAATTTACGTCACCAAGGCCCACCGAGCGATATAGCTCTTTTTCAGAAGCGACCTGACCACAACGAAGTGGCTTGTCTCTAAACGCACGTTGGTTCTAAATGTGGAGGGAAAACCCGAAGGATCCACGTGACCACGGGCAGAGAGACACGCAACCTCCAAATATACTGCAGCAGGCGTCAGGGTCGAGATCGCAGCCACGACCTCATGTATACCAAGCGAGTTAGTTAACATCTCCTATCCACCGTGCCAGCGTGAACAGTGAGCGGCGCTTTGTTATGATAGAAGCGAATGCAGGGAGAGGGTTACTCTGGCAGAAAGGCACACAGCGCGTGGCTGTATTAGTCAGGACAGGTGAGAAGCTCGACAGCTCGGTGAGCAGACTGGAGCCAGAGCCGGTGAAGGAGGGCCGCAGGTAAAACCCGTCGGGGTAGCGAGGTTCCCATCTGGACGAAACGGCCGAAACATGCGCACGCCACCTTTTCAATTTGCCCCATCCGGCGGTCATAGAGACACGCACGGGCGTTTAACGCGTCGGCCTTTCGTGACCGATATCATCCAGAATGGAGCCTCATCAGGCCGGTTGTAATTACCGGGCGAAATGTCACGGCACTCGAATTGTGAATGTTGTGGTGGGTTTACTCCCCAACACACAACCGGCGTGCTGTACTAGTAACGAATTGTGAATGTTGTGGTGGGTTTACTCTCCAACACACAACCGGTGTGTGCTGTACTGGTAACGAATTGTGAATGTTGTGGTGGGTTTACTCTCCAACACACAACCGGTATGTGCTGTACTGGTAACGAATTGTGAATGTTGTGGTGGGTTTACTCTCCAACACACAACCGGTGTGCTGTACTAGTAACGAATTGTGAATGTTGTGGTGGGTTTACTCTCCAACACACAACCGGTTTGCTGTACTAGTAACGAATTGTGAATGTTGTGGTGGGTTTACTCTCCAACACACAACCGGTATGTGCTGTACTAGTAACGAATTGTGAATGTTGTGGTGGGTTTACTCTCTAACACACAACCGGTGTGTGCTGTACTAGTAACGAATCGGCACGTTTTGTTTACGTGACAAACCTTACTAATTGGCTGTGTCGAGTGGTAGCGGGTTTAACGACACATATTTACATGATCTAACCCCAAAAAAACCCTCTATTATGGATCCACAGGTGTTTCATTAAAAAAATCGCATGAAAAGAAAATTATCGTCAAGGTGAGAATCTTGCCAAGAATGCTTCCTAAACCAATTTCAACACTTATCTGTAAATGTCAGATACCCATCAGGTATAAAATTTCGGCAGGCATGGCTTTATGCCTACACACCCTACATACAATAGAGTCAGCAGCATCGACTGCATCTATAGTATTTAATGTTGACCTTTATGGAAAGTAAAGCTAAGAAAGAAATCAATGCAGTAACAAATATAACGAGCCAAATAAAGGCTGTGTCTGTGTGTCCCGCGTGTGACGTCACTCCACATGCGCCCCCTCATTATTTTTCACGTGTGCCTGGATTTTTAGACTAACGCAGAAGAAGGTCGAGCGGCTATGAACATTTATTTACGCAAATTCCCTTTCGAATTTTACGCATCTTTATAGAAAGTGAAGGCAAAAGATTCTCCTACGCCGCATCCCAGTGCATTTGGTGGCTTTATTTATTTCTTCGGCACGTCAAACAAAAGGTTAATCTACTTTATGCTTCCGGCCTAGGACGGGCTAGCAAGCTAGTATACAGAGAGCCGTTCGAGCGATAATAAATAGCGAAAAATGCTCGTGCACCAACACATACCAAGTTTGATGCTCTTAAAATGTCTTCGGCTTTCCTGCGATCGAACCTGCTGGCATACCAAATCTTTGAGTAGATTTCCTGTCAAAAGAACATTTTGAAAGAAAAATCAATATTCGTGAGAAACCCGTTTCAAGTGATGAAGTGGCGTATTCTGAAACATCGGTAGTATCATAAAAATAATAAATAAATAATACATTAACTTCTTGGTTCTTTCGGTAAAGCCACATAGAAGGGAAACAATATTTTCGTTTCCCCCCTCCTCTTTTCCGAACATAGATGGACTCGTCCATCTGAACAAACTGTCAAATCGCTCTCCGTGGTGCTAACGTTTAAAAAAACCGCCACTTTTTTTAAATGTTCTTGCTGTGGTTTTCACACCTGATGATGATTGCTTGTGTTGCAGTCGAAACGTCGTGAGAATTTTATTGTTTTATATTTTTATTATTTTATTGTTTCCCTTCTACGTGACTTTACCGAAAGAACCAAGAATATGAATCCCTGCAGTCACGAACGCTTTAAATCGAAAAATAATACATTACTCAAGGCTTTGTAAAAATCATACATAAATAACAAAGTTAACATATCATTATTTACAGTCATTTGTAAGGCGCCTTCCACTAATGTCTCAAATAAATAAAACAAATAACGAAACTAACATCTGAACAAGGGGGAGGAAAAGTATAGAAATATAGTATAGCAGTATAGTATGGAAGAAGTATAGAAGCGAATACAAAGAGATGTATTGGGGTGATAACAAAGTCTGTGCTGTCTGGATAATTTGGCCGGATGAAGGTTACAATCACAGGCTGGTATTTGCCGTGCTCTTTCAGACGAAGGATAGCGTCAGGCGAGACGTGTGGAGCGCTCATTAGAAAGACCGCACGTGGCTGCGCTGCGATAACGTCACCTGATAGTACAAGCACACACTGCGGGAAAGCTTTTTATTCACGTTGTGTTTCATTTTGGGCCCAAAAAAAAAATAACATGGCCCAAGACGACGATTCTCGCTGTATGGGGTTTCTTACTGGTCCTATAATTATTTAAAAAAAAACACAAAAGTGTTGCAGTACGGCTGCTAAAGGGGGCGAACTAAAGCTTTATATACAGAACGACCCGTTCCATCCGCACGTTGGTGCGGATGGAAGAACTTTGTGGATCACCCGTGAGTTGTGCGCAACAATTGACCCCCACTTATCCGTGAGAAAAACACGGACGAATGCGGATTTATAGGATGGGCTTTGCCACTCAACTCCTTGTCATCCACGGAAAAAAAACACAGAGATTAGGAAGTCAAAACAGCGCTTGAAAAGCTCCCTCTGCTGGCTGAGCGGACACCTTTTGAAGGGGTGGGAGTCGTCCTCACTTTTCCCCACCAAATGCAACCTGCTCATTGATTACCTGCGGCGTTTCCCCAATTATACTGCTGGGTGAACGGAATCCCGTACACATGTTAATTATATTTTGACCATCTTCAATGTGTAATAATAATTAAAATGTACAATGCGCATTCCATCTCAGGATCCCGATGCGCAATGCATGAAAAGCAGGTAACAAAACCAGGGCAACCGACCAAACGAAAGAGGGAAGGCCACTTTAAAGTGATGGATTTTCAAAGCAGAATTAAATATATCTACCGACTCTTTGTTTTTTTCGGTAAAGTCACGTAAAAATAAGAAATAATAATAAAATTACATAATAGCATATGACGTTTCGATTGCAACGCAAGCAATCATCATCAGGTATAGAAGAGCTAAATTTAAGAGAGAGAGAGGAAACACAGAACCGCAGACATACATACAGACACCTAAGTAGAGGGAGTTAACACAGAGACACCAAGAGGCACAACGTATGGAGCACAGAGAGACAGGGTCTCTGTGCCGAGGCCTTAGCATGTAGGGGAGACAAAGAGAGATGGAGAAGCACATCAAATCGAACAAGATTTAGTAAGATTTGGAAACAATATAATGCAGCACAGAGGGTCGGTCAAAACACAATTAACGCATGGTCTGGCTGATTACGTTATTTCAAAGATTGCTAAATTATAGCTTAAGAGTGATAGAGTACAGATCGCAGACACATATGTAGACATCTAAGCAGAGAGAGTTAGCACAGAGACACACAGAGAGAGAGAGACACACACATGGGACACAGTGAAACAATGCTTCTGTGTCGAAGCCTTAAATAGAGGGAGGGGGGGAGGGGCGGAGACAGAGACAAAGGGATACAAATTAGCATGGACTGGACTGAGCAAGTAGAGGCACACACACACACACCTGCCGCTGCAGTGTGGTGAGGGGTTTTTATATCTACCGACTCTGATTGCCTGATTTCAAGTGGCAAGGCGTTCCATAGTTTGGGTGCCACGCTAGCAAAAGCCCAATCACCAAAAGAGCGCAACCACGACCGTGGGAGTGTCGAGCAGTTGGAGATAGGAAGATCTTAAGGACCTTGGCTGGAATATATAGATGTATTAGTTCCTGCAAGTAATGTGAATAAATCATACGATTTGAATTGAAGCCTTGAAACTGTATGTTGCAAACGAGTTGGTGTGCATTTCATTTGTGTAAATCAACTCACCATATCAGACGGATGCCTGCAAAGTTGACTTTCGTGGGTCTGATATGGATATCGTAAATCTAAAGAAAAGACAAAAACAGGGTTGAATCACAATTATTGGAGTAATATATACATCTGTAATTATATGCACTATAATGCAAACACGTAGGCCAGTTCCGTAATACTAACATTAACAGTATAATCATTGACAGGCCCTTTGTCAATCCACTGCTCGATCCCGTGCTGTGTTTGTCCGTACTTCACCACGCTGGTAAGCGCGGGTTGGTGAGGGGTCAAATATCGCTTTGCCACGGGCGTTAGGCGGGGGTGGGAATCAAACTCAGGTCGCCGCGTTCGCAGCCCAGCGTGCTCACCGACGCGCACACTGCTCCACCTCGGCTCGAATGAGTTCTGCCTGCGCTGGTGATAAGGTGCGTGACTCAGGGAGCAGTGGCAGATTGCGTTACACATTGCACCGCGGAGCTGAGAAAAACTCAACGTGCCAATCGCTGCCCATGCGTGCAAGAGATAAGAGATCATTGGTATCTTAACCTGGCCCGAGACCTCTCCTAGATTAACTGGGTGTAAAATCAACACGTGCTGCGGAGTGTTTTGACACGAGCGCTGGGCAGGCAGGTCGCGTGCATCCATCACGTACCATGCGTGACGGGGCACCGCGAGATCTGACCGAGTCTGTCCAGGGCTTGCCGAGCTGAATTGGCTTCCGGTTGCCGAACGAATTCGTTGCAAAGGTCACGCTCATTGCACACAAAGCGCTTGCCACAAATGAACCACAATACCTTGACTGATAAACCATCATCAGGCAAACCCCGGTCATCGAACAAAGACGGTCACCGCATCGTGCGCCTTCAGATGCGCTTCTTCAGCCGTCTGGAATGTTCTTCCTTCTGATATTAGGAAGCCACTGGAGCTATGCATCGAGATTGACAAACTCGTCTTTTTTAGGACGGTTTGCTACATATGGTGCGAAAGAAGTTCAACATACATTTATAAATGTATACGGTGACCTCAGCAGTGGTAAATAATATAAACTGTTGTAATATCTTCTCCGATTCCAGTGTGGTATGGACCATGCGTAATAACGCAGCTGTTCACATTAAACAACTTCAGAAAGAAAGCAATTTTACAGCAATCATCTCTGCACCGAAAACAATACAAACAGCACATTCTCATCACACACGTTAAACTGTGCACACGGACAGAAGCTAATTTAAAAAAATATTCGGGTTGGGATTTGATTCCACGTTGGTTGCTTTAACAATTAAATATAAAGACCTGGTCACGAATATGTTATGGATGTTATTATTATTAATTCTCAGAGACTAAAGTCTTGCTGAAAAGGTGCATTGATGTTGCTGCTCATCTTCCGTTTACAGTCCTGAGCCAATGGTGGAAATTTAACACATTCCTATGGTAGGGACAAGTCTCTCTAATGGAAGACTGCTGCTAATTTTACCGACAAAGTTGTACATATGTTATCGACCCTGAAGGGGTGATGGGCCGAGTCAAACCCCATAACCAGGATTTGAACTAACAACCTTCCAATTGTGAGCTGCTCGCTGCACAACTTGAGCCACCTCATGTCTTCTACTGCATTTGTTTGTGCTGGTGTAAGGCGGCGTTCAATGGCAAAGGAGCTGAGTTATTTCGAGTAGTTCTGCAAGCTTCATTAGCAGCACATTATTGGCGGCAACCTTTTAATACCAACGGTATGTGTACATACTCTTTGGTTCTATTCGGTAAAGTCACGTAGTTAAAAAAATAAAACAACAAAAAATCACGACGTTTCGGCCACAATACAAGTGGCCTTCATCAGGTGAAGGGACCAAACTGTCCAGAGGACAGCGTTGGATTGAAGAAAGCCAAGCCCAGGTCGCCTCCTTTAAGCTGTGAGGGGGTAAACAGAAAACCCCTTAAAGGAGGCAACCTGGGCTTGGCTTTCTTCACTCCAACGCTATCCTCTGGAAAGTTTGGTACCTTCACCTGATGAAGGCCACCTGTGTTGTGGCCGAAACGTCGTGATTTTTTGTTGTTTTATTTTTTTTAACTATGTGACTTTACCGAATAGAACCAAAGAGTAACGATCCTTGCAGTCACGAAAGCTTAAAATCTAGAAAAGGTATGTGTACATGTACATCAACGCATGTCCATAGCCCAGTCTGCTTTTGAACTGTGTCTGAGCTAGCCTTGCAAATGAAATACAGTAGACTCTTGATTATCCGCATACGGTTATCCGATTTGCGGATTAACCGTGCACCTAAGATTTTGACATACATTACTAACTCATGGATTTTCCCTTAAGCCCAAATTAATAATCTAAGAACAATTACACATTGTTATTCTTGGAAATCAGTTTTTACAAGTCACGTGCTTAAACCGAACACATATGTTGCACCAGTTAATCAGAAATCCACGTGATCGCCTCAACAGCACAGTAGTTGCATATCTTTACACACAGTGGGTGGAGTTTTATTGATGTTGATGGGCGTGGCTCTGCTGTCATCCACCTCGTGGGCAGAGTCTTCTGTGTGGACGCAGGAGAATGTTATCACTGGGCACACGCATGATCGGGCGGTCCATCGTTAGTATTCGTTCTAAATCGAAAGAGTAACAATCGAAATCGTCAGTTTTGTGCTGAATTTTTAGTGATTTATTTAATCATTTATTTACGAAACTGTGCGATCGCAGAGAAACTTAAACATAATTTTAACCTATGTTAGTGGTTTTTGACATAGAGATCCGTGGAATTTTTAAAAAAAAAATTGGATTATCTGCAATTTTGAATTATCCGCGGTTGTCCTTCCCGCAATTATCGCGGATAATCGAGAGTCGACTGTACATGAAAAGGTTCTGCAGGCCGCCGATTAGACTAAAATATAAAACACAAGTAGGGGCTTTGTTTAACCTTTCTCAGGTGATCCGGTCGAGTCTTCTGATTTCTACAAAAACAACCAGAGAGGAGTTAGCAATTCTTTAACACGTAGGCTTTCGCGACCAATATCATCCACGTCCTATTCAGGTTGTAAATGTTGTGGATACACTCTCCAACACACAACCGGTGTGCTGTACCAGTAACGAATTGGCATGTTCTGTTTACGTGACAAACCTTACTAATTGGCTGTGTCGAGTGGCGGCGAGTTTAGCGACACATTTATATTTACGCGATCTAACCCAAAAAACCTCAATTATGGATTAGCAATTCTTGTTTGCAATTTCCTGACAGATACACACTGGCAATGCTTTGCTATCGTGTGCAAAACAGTAAAAAAACACACATGGAAATGTAAACTCTCCGGGATGGGACTGTGGTCCTGCAGAGGGATAGACCAATGGACGTACAACGCCTCAGGGCCCGAATCACAAATACAATACAGGGGGCGTCGTCACGGCCAGAATTCACCACCCAGCTACTGCCGACGCAATCATCCGCCTCTACCACCTCAACGTACAATAATAGCTGTTGCTCTACAGCAACATCGGCCACATGAAGAAGAAAATCTATGGGGGTTTTTAACTAACATTAATTTACGTTACGTAATTAACGTCTTAATCAAATAACAACAATGATTATTCGCCCTGTTGTTAATCTACCGTTGGATGAAGGCCCCGCTTAAACGCCGCGCCAAGGCATGGGAAATTGTTTGACCGTACTTCACCGCACCCATCCGTGAGGCCCAAGGGCGATTCAGGGATATCACTCGCCACTGATGTTAGCCATGGTCAGGGAATCGAACTCAGGCGTAAACTGCTCCACTCACCCAAAGGGTTCGTATAAAAAAGAAAAACGTTGATGATGGCGCAAGCTCATGTAACAATTATCTGCTGTACGTTTTACCGCATTAATACATTAAAAAAAAATCAAATTGCCTAGGGTAAACCGTGTGTTAAGCTGGTGAACTATGGGGTTATGTAAATGTGTGCTGTTGCTGTCACCCCGAGAGCTTTGACGAGCTGGTTGGACTTGGTCGTCAAAACATCGTTATCTGCCACAGTTAATTCGCGTCCTCACGCGCCGTGCGTCAATGGCGCATAACGGACCGAGGCACAGTTAACACATTCCGAATCTTGTGAAGAGTCATTGTATTCTGGATCGAGTTGTTGGCCTTCTTTCTGTCGCCGTTATGGCGACGTTTAAAACCAAATCTGCTTTGGTGTCCTATAAAAAGTTTTGAGGGAATTGCATGGGAGAGAAAATGAATCAGAACTCCTCACCCTCCCATGTAAAAAAAAAATTAATGAGCAACCCTCACAGACCGCTTTGTTATTTTAAAGCTAACTGTGTTATCTTTTTTTACCTATTCTAAGTGTTGGGACATTCACGTAAATCAATCTTTTTATAAGACGCTCCAAAGATGCATTTGTTGATGAGACATGCTCTCAGTGAATGAGACGTTCTTTCGCAGCTCCTACCTGCGTCAGCATCGAAAACGTCTGATTGCTCAGGAAGGACGGTGATGGCAGTGGAGACCTGCGACAGAACACGTGGTGCACAATATGACATTAGTAAAAAAATAATGGATAATCAACCCAGCATTTTAAAGAGCGGTGCTGTGCGGCGACATTTATGATTATCAAGGACATACACAATCGGATGCCTTCACTATAAAAGTCAGACTAATGTCAACACTTCCTTCCTTGAAGTTACAGAAATACTTGATATTTTAACATGATATACACTTACTTTGAGCAGAATGATATACAATTTAATGAGTACTTAAACAACACGTATTCACAACCGACCTTTTTTAAGATACCAGTTTCATGAAGAATAAATCGGTGACCTTTTAACCTCGTAACATGTTACATGACTCGAGGAATTATTTAGCCTCTTTCTGTTTAAATTCTATGGAAACAGTTCGAAATAATTAAATGCATTGATCAGCCCACGTGAAGAAATCGTAACACGGTCAACGTTTACACATTTCGGCAAATGTGTTCAATGCGAATGCATTAATGTCTCACGCGCGAAATTCAAACTCATGTTACTCTTATGTCACCGGTAATAAAACAATATATTTTTTTCAATTTCACCTATTGGGCCAGTTGGTTTGCCTTGACACCCTGACCTAACGGATTTGATAAGCAAGCATGACCACTCTGCTTATGAGGAGGCATTGTATGTTGAGACCGGTCCAGAGTTTTTCTTTTATTTGAATCATTGCTTTACATCGAATCAGAATCATCTAATATCACCTACTGGACATCTGTGAAACTGAGCTTTATAGCACATCGTATTCCTCCAGTATAAACAAATATTTTGATTGCCGATGATATTATGAACTCGCAGAAGGCCATGCGTGCAGCTGATAGGTTGTGTCAGCAATACTTTTATGTCGTACATGCAGAGGAGGATGTATGAAGGAGACGCTGTCTGCTTATTTATTTTTTAACTTCACAGACTGGGTGAGATTCATACCTAGCTAAGCAGCCAAAACGCAATCGGACCCTTGACGATTTGCCCTTTGGTTTGTGATGGAGACATTGTCAAGTTTTTCGTTGTAAAAAAAAATCCGATGGAAATAAACAGAACATTGGATATCGTGCGAAACGGGCACTAATGCCCTGCTTAAAAGTCGGAAGAGATCTACGACAGATTCGGTGTTCGGGATATGTTACGGCGGTGGATTGGCAAGGGGTCTGTAAACAAATCCCGCTGTTACTCTGACCACCGTGTAGGTTTTCGCGGTTGTGCTGCGTGCGGTTCTCATCCGCCCTGTCGCCTGGTTGCGCCCGTTTAAACATTGGACTACGTGCGGAAAGCGGTACAATTTTAGAAACGTGCATTGTTTAGATGATATGAAAGCTGCTATAAAAGTCCACGTGATAGGCCACTTCGTTGAGCTATCATTCGTGGCCAGGTCACTTCTGAAAAATAAGCTAATAGCTCAGTGGGCTTTTCATGGTAAAAATTAAAACATGTTTTTCGTTGTATTTTTATATATTTGTTTACCTTTCGTATACTTTGCACTCCTATCGTGTTTCTGTATTGTTGCAACGTTCTGACCTGCCCTACTGGACATAAGTGAAAAGGAGATTTGTAGCTCATTGGATTCCTCCTGTATAAATACTCTGATGATTCTGATCAAACATATCGGAGAGCTACCACTGTTACTATTCTGTTTTGCGCATGGCGGCAGCAATGTGTTCAGAAGCTAAATGCCAGTGTGGGGATCTGGCTAGGCACGGAGAGAGGGCTTCAGGAGTTTGTGGATATTTGATCCTCCTCCTCCTCCACCCTTGCAGGAAGTGGGCGACGGTAGCCTTCTCATAGCCCACGTGTCACGAGTTTCTACGCTACATTCAACACAACCAACACTGCAGATGGATATCATTAATTTGAATCCAGATACGAGCAACACTTGTTGACTGATATTCCTACGTTTGTTATTTATTTGCTGACATTCCACTAGTGTTTGTAGGTTAATTTTGCGAGAAACATTAAGTTTACATGGACGCTGCTACTGCTGCGATTAGTTGCTGTAAAAATGCACGCAGAAATTAAGATTATTCAAAACGAATGGCGTTAAATGTATAACGCAGTCGCAATACAATTCGATTTCTTTGGCAAATCCTTCACTGATGGAGCGCAGGCTACCGTGGTTTACTCTGTGGCCCGTAGTTGGGGCTGCATGGTCAGTCGCCCAGTGCCGGATTATCCCAGTAGCAAAAGTATCTACATATGTAGCTATGGGCCCCGCACTTTCAAGGGCCCCGCGCTAAACGCTTTCAAGCTATCAATTCCGGTTCAGTGATTCTGCACTTGCTCTGTTACTATAGTACTATACCGCCTTCAACTTTTATAAACGACTGGGTGTTTCAGGTTAGCGTTTTGTCGTGTTATCTGGCTGTATAGCAAATGAAAAAATACAATTACTTTACTATGCAAGTAAATTTTTTGTGTTTTAATATTTATGTTTTTTTCTCATTTAGGGCCCTTTTTATAACATTTGCTACAGGCCCCGCACTAGCTTAATCCGGCACTGCAGTAGCTCTGTCGTGGCTTGTCTTTAATATCCAAGCAATGAAGGGGATGTGAGCATCGGCCTGTTGGTGTTCTAATGAGGTTGGTGGTTAACACCACACCCATGACCTCGGGAGGGATGAACGTCAAAGCCAGGGGGTGCGATGTGGGGACCCTTCTTGTGGCCCCAGATGTCACCTTCAGCACAAGTCGTATCTGGCAGCGCTGCGAAACGCACTTCGGTAATTATTGTGACTCGCAAACTCTTCTCTCGCCCACCAGCAATTAAACATGCGCAGGATTTGCATTGAGGCATTCGTCTTAAGGGTGCATGTTGCTCGCTTGTAAGGCCCCCGTGGCCACCTTTGGCCATGGGGGGGCCTTACATGCTTTGTTTTTTTTGTTTAGGATTCTAATTTGTAAATACTGTACACACCCCCCACCTCCCCCCCCCCGCCGCCCCCCATAAAAAAACGGTCTAAATATCAACATTTTTTACTTATTCCCTGTTTATGGGCTAATTTTCACCAAAGGCTGAGTGGGTCACGCTGCTGATTTCGCAGTTGCACGAATTCTGGGTGTGGGTTTAGCCGCTTATTCTTATCTCTGCTTTTCATACTCGCAGGGGGCCACGCGTTGGCCGTGCAAACGTCTCGGCGCTCTCGCGGCTCGGGAAACGCCGGCCCACAAAAACCCCCACGATGTTAATGCCCCCAAAAACAATTCCTCAATTTGTACCCAAAAAAAAAAGTAGAGCCCAAAGTAAAGTTTTTCTTGGGTTAGATCGCCTACATATAAATGTGTCGTTAAAACCGCCACTGCCCGACACAGCCAATTAGTAAGGATGGTCACGTAAACAAAACGTGTCAATTAGTTACTAGTACAGCACACCGGTGTGTTGAAGAGTAAACCCACAACATTTACAATTTGAGTACGATGTTTCGCTGGTGATTACAACAACCAGCCTCATCAGGCGATTAGCCAGAATTGTGAAGAAGTCATCCTGTTTTGGTATTAAATAAATAACAACGGTCACGAAAGCCTACGTGTGAAACTGATATAATCATCTTTTATAAATATGCCCAAACCAATAGCAGCACATGGAATGACACATTCCTATGACAAGGGGGAGTATATCCACATGACTGTTACTGTTGATTTAATTTAATCCCAGAGCGAAGGGGGATCTGAGTCACCCTCCAAGGGATTCGAATTCCCAAACTGTGAGCGGCACGTTACTGTAATGGTGGCCAAAAACCCTGACGGAGAAAATGTCAATAATGTTGAAGGTGTGAATTGTTTTAACTTTCCAGTGCCTCTTCCCTTGCATCCACACAACGAGAGTTTTGCAAATGGCTGCATGGTTTGCTGTAATGCCCTTCACGAGTTCTTACTGCTGTCACTTAGGGGGGCGCTGCAGTGATGGAACGGTTAGCGCACTGGGCTTGCAATCCAGAAGCCGCCGGGTTCAATCACCCGGCGTGGCTGTCCAGCCAGCGGTATAAATGGGGTAACACCACCAAAGTATCCGCACCTCCGATTAGCAAGGCTGGCCATGTACGGTGCGAGAGAAGTCCGACAGACTTACACACGGCAAAATGTTTGCCGAAATTAGAAGAAAAAAAAACGACACCGCGAATTACTTGATTGGGATTACACAGCAGGGGTGGGGGAAGTCATCGCACCCCACCTGGCAGACTAATGCCAGGTGGTGCAGCAAAACTAATGCCAGGTGGTGCAACAAGACTAATGCCAGCTGGTGCAGCAAGACTAATGCCAGCTGGTGCTGCAAGACTAATGCCGGCTGGTGCAGCAAGACTAGTGCCAGCTGGTGCAGCAAGACTAATGCCAGCTGGTGCAACAAGACTAATGCCGGCTGGTGCAGCAAGACTAGTGCCAGCTGGTGCAGCAAGCCTCATGCCAGCTGGTGCAGCAAGACTCATGCCAGCTGGTGCAGCACAGCAAGACTAATGCCAGCTGGTGCTGCAAGACTAATGCCAGCTGGTGCAGCAAGCCAGCTGGTGCAGCAAGACTAATGCCAGCTGGTGCAGCAAGACTAATGCCAGCTGGTGCAGCAAGACTAGTGCCAGCTGGTGCAGCAAGACTAGTGCCAGCTGGTGCAACAAGACTAGTGCCAGCTGGTGCAGCAAGACTAGTGCCAGCTGGTGCAGCACAGCAAGACTAGTGCCAGCTGGTGCAGCAAGACTAATGCCAGCTGGTGCCGAGTCACCTTGTGCCCACACAGGGACAGCTGCCATCGGTGGCTTGCGGGGGGGGGGGGTGCCCCTCACGAATATGCCGCCATGAGAGATGTGACGACGGTAAGGCGCTCTGAGACACCGTGCCGCTAATATACCCGAGGGGCGGCCGCGTCGAGCGCAAATCGTCGTTTAGTGTATCAACCTGGGGTGGGCGGCGGTGGGGAGGGAGAGGGAGGGCCTGTACGGCAGCGTGGGGTACACCGACGACGCCGATGCCGACGACGGCGGGGTCACCGCCTCGGACGACCCCTCGCGGCTCGACAGCAGCGGCCTCGGCGACAGCGGCACCATCGGCCTGGCGTGCACGTCGAGCTTCTCCAGGTGCCGCACCGCGTCCGATCTGAGCGCGCAGGGGTCACAGAACAAGTCCGGCACCGTGATCACCCGACGGGATGCCAAGGCTAGCGAGCGAGGGTAACAATAATTTTAATGTGAACGTATTGGTGGTATACCGGTGGCGGTGCGCGGTATTAAAAACATTTTTTTTTCCCACCCGCGATTTGCAACCCCGGGGAAGAAAATCTTGCGGGGTGGTGGTGGCGGTGGTGGTGCTTCAAAATCAGTTCTCGTGATGTCGAAGCATTCGGAAGATTCATGTTTATACGAGCGGCTGAACACAAAGAAGCTTCACGGTCTGTTGCCCTATAGCAGCGCCCAGCCTAATGACGATTTTCTGCTCCGTGTTCCAAAGACAGATTTGACTCCTCGTGCCCTAGACTTGGCCGGACGGTTCCTCGATTCACTTCGGGAATCATTTATTGTGCGGACGGTGGCGTCAAAAGATTACACAACTCGTGGTGTCACCGCACGTTCGAATGGGAAAGCAGCTGCTGAATCTGAGTGCAACTTCTGATGGGAGAGTCTGCAGCTCACTCGAGGGTAACAACGACATCGTCATGAGGACCGGTGTGTTATGCTGCGCCGGTGTACCACCAATAAGTCCATATGTATACATTTGTAGTGTTGTAAGGACGAGCAGACTTCTTTAGGAGGCACACTCTGATTATTGTATTATTTCCTTATACAATGCTTAACACACACAGAGGGATATTCGGTCCCCTCACCCGATACCCGAGGGAGGTACAGCCTCCGGACCTGGCGGGACTCACACGTCTACCGCTATCCTATTCCTCCGGCTAGGACCTAGGGGAGGCTATCTGACCCACCGCTGGCCCGGTGGGTCCTGACCGCTGGGTATGCCGAGCCTTAGCCCTTAGAAGGGCTGGGAGGCTGGTCCAGGGTCCTAGCTAGGCTTCAGCCCAGTCTTCTATCTTCTTGCAGGGAGAGAACTCCCCGAGGTCCGTTGGGTCACCCGTCTTATACCCCTTCGTGGCCAGGTAGAACCAATCATACATTCCCACGTGGAACCGTCTGATTGGTTCGCACCAAACCCTGGCCACGATCCGTTTCACCTCGACTGACCCCAACCGTTGTACCCAGGGGTAATGCTGCACTGCCCTGGTGGCAATGCAGGTTACGCAACAGCGCGTAGTTAACACCTCTACACATTTATAAAAAAAACAATTATTCGTGAACATTAATAAATATGAATATAAAGAAAATTACATAACATGCTGTCTTTATTTTTTTCTTACGAAGTAAAGACTTTTTATTTTTGTAAGCTAGAAGAATAATTTTTATCTGAGGCAAAGCTACCAGCGTGGTGAAGTAAGCATCGGCTTATTCACGTTTGAGAGGGAGGCAGAGCCTCGACAAAATGTTTGTTTTGCCATGTTAACGTCTACATTTGTAAGCGTGTACCTTCGACGTGCTAACAATTTGAGCTAATTGTAACGGTTGAACAAATTACTCGGTTGGCGGTGCCGCTCCTTGCGTTGGCAGCGTCGTACGGACACAAATAAAAAAAAATTGGGCACGTGTCACAAATGCAGTGGAAAAGTTACGTTAGAGGCGACGTTTCGGGCAATGGGCCTTCTTCACAGCGCATGGGCTAACTCGACCTCGCTGAAGTTGCTGTGGTAGGAGACGCAATCGCCTGCAAAGTCACCCATGTACATGCCTTCTCTTTTTGAGGCCACAGTGGTCGTGATGAATGTGTTTTTCTTTTTTCAATTACAACGAATGTGGTGTGCACATGTAGCGGCTGCCTGTTCAGAGATTTTCAGTAGTCAAGCACACATACGGTAGAGCCTCGATTATCCGCGTGAGGTTTATCCTATTTGTGGATTAACTGCGCACCTGAGATTTTTCCATAAATTAATAACTCATGGATTTTCCCCTGAACCCAAATTAATAATCAACAAAAGTAATAAGTTGCTATTCTTGGAAGTGTTTATTACAAGTCACGTGCTCGAACCGAACAAATATGTGCTGCGGTTAATCCGAAACCCATGTGACCGCCGCTACAGTACAGTAGTTGCAATATCTTTACAACAGTGGGTGGCGTTTGATTTGTGTTGACTGCCTTGGCTCTGCTGTACACTTAGCGGGCCGTGTGGGAACAGGAAAGTCTTATCACTGAGCAATAACAAACAAACATTTATTAACTTACACGTAATTTACACCTATCCGAGTTGATTTTGGCACAGAGATCCACAGAAAATATTTTCATTTTTGGATCATCGGCGATTTTGGAATACGTGCAGCCATCCTCCCCGTCATTAGGATGGACAATCGAGAGTCTACTGTGATTATAATAACGTATGGAGGATTGCCAGCCCGAGTCCCCGCTTGGTGTGACTGTCCACTTCCTTCTACATTATTTTCAGATGCGTGGGGGCAAAGACAGCCCTGCACGCAGACGTGGGATGACAGCACTCACAAGCCCCAGCCTGTTGAGCAACCTACTTGCTGTACTGGACACTTTTTAGAGACGGTAGGCCGTGTTGATAGTGAGAGGTGAGGCTGTGTGGGGTGAGTGAGTGGTGAGGCTGTGTGGGCGAGTGAGGGGTGAGGCTGTGCGGGGTGAGTGAGTGGTGAGGCCGTGCGGATGGGTTAGTGGTGAGGCTGTGTGGGTGAGTGAGTGGTGAGGCTGTGTGGGCGAGTGAGTGGTGAGGCTGTGTGAGTGAGTGAGTGAGTGGTGAGGCTGTGTGGGTGAGTGAGTGGTGAGGCTGTGTGGGTGAGTGAGTGAGTGAGAGGTGAGGCTGTGTGGGTGAGAGGTGAGGCCGTGTGGGGTGAGTGAGGGGTGAGGCCGTGTGGATGGGTGAGTGGTGAGGCAGTGTTGAGAGTGAAAGGTGAGGCTGTGTGGGTGAGTGAGTGGTGAGGCTGTGTGGTTGAGTGAGGGGTGATGCCGTGTGGATGGGTGAGTGGTGGGGCAGTGTTGAGAGTGAAAGGTGAGGCTGTGTGGGTGAGTGAGAGGTGAGGCTGTGTGGGTGAGTGGTGAGGCAGTGTTGAGAGTGAAAGGTGAGGCTGTGTGGGTGAGTGAGAGGTGAGGCTGTGTGGGTGAGTGGTGAGGCAGTGTTGAGAGTGAAAGGTGAGGCTGTGTGGGTGAGTGAGAGGTGAGGCTGTGTGGGTGAGTGAGAGGTGAGGCTGTGTGGGTGAGTGAGAGCTGTAATTTTGCTGTAACCTCGTGCGTTTGAACATCTCCGTGTAAGCCCACGCGCACGCGGGGGGCCTGAGTCCAAACACACTGGTCATGTAGATGGCAAATAAGGTGGACATTCCGATAAAGGTGGAGAAAATATATGTTCTGCTGGCTCAATGCGGAGCTCTCAGGGCATGCAGGACCAGTAACCGTGTGGATGCGTAACTCGCCGTGGCCACGTGTTCGTGTTCTGTGACGCGTACCTGCTCACTGGAGCCAGCGGAACAGGGGGAGACCTCTTCTGGAAATGAAAAAAAAAATGTTCATCCGGTTAGAGTGAACAAGGTGCAGCCCTGCAATTTCCTGCTCCTCTCGCACCTCCGATTAGCACGGTTGGCTACGTACGGTGTGAAAGAAGTGTAACGTACATACGCAGACTCACACAGAGACCCATAGACTCACAGAGAGACCCATAGACTCACCACACAGAGATGCATAGTATCGTTTTGCACTAGATCATCGTGTAGGTAAATTGTGTCAAATAACAACCAATGAATAACCGCCATTCGCCACTTAGGTGACGCTGACGTCACCACGGTGCCCGTGCCAGGCCAGGTGAACTTTGAGGCCACGTGAAGTGTCGGAAGGCTCGCTGACAAGAGGTCACGGGACAGACCCAGCAGGTGCCATGGGTTGGCTGACTGAGATGACTGGCAGATGCGCCAGCTGTTACCCCCTACCCTGCCAAAATGCAGCAAATAACTACCACCGAGTACAAAACCACCATCATCGCCACCACCACTACCACCAGTTCCACATTGACATTGTACCGACGTGATGGTCTAATAAACTAATCATATTGTTCGTGAAAGCCGACGTATAAAAATAGCACTGTACATACGTTTCGATTACAGCCCGATACTCTTGCTAATCCTGCTCCCTTGCCAGGTGCTTTAGAACCCCGAGATAAGAGAAACTCACCAGCTCACACTCGGCGCCTCGGTCTACAATGAAGAAAAAAAATAAACAAACATACCACATTGGTGCATTAACAATCAATGAGCATGCATTTCCGAACAAATTCAATCTCGTGCCAATTCGTTGGTTCAATTGTCAGCCTTAATGCTCAGTGTTAATGCTATAAAATCATCAGAATTTCTTAAATGGAAGCGGCTTATGAAATAGGAATTCGATACCGAAAAAAGTGCAGCACAGTATGACGAGGTTGACATTGACTTAATGTCTGTAAAGATAGAGGAGGTTGTGAACGATAGCCGGATGACATAATTCCAAGTGCAGTGTTGTTTTATGCCAACGACGCCGTATCAGTTCATCTAACTGATACGGTGTGGTCTAACCTATAAACGCCGCATCTGTTAATGCAAACCGATCGCCCCCCAATGCCCCGACTCGAATTCGCCCCACCGACAGCGACCAACCTGCGAAGCTTTCGGCATCCTCAAGGTGCACGTTGTTCTGGCGACGGAGCGGGGAGCTGGGCGGCTTGCCGTGAGTGTGGTGGAGATGCAGTCTGCCGCCACCGCCGCCACCGCCGGGTGACAACTGCTCGTGGAACCCAGCCGGCCGGCTCGGAGGAAACGGCGCCGGCTTCTGCGGCGACCGATTGTTGAAGGGGCGGCCCGCCGCCATCGGCGGGATGCTTGCGGACTTCTGCCGCTGGTGCTGCTTGCCCAACGGCGCCAAGGGGCTGGGGGATTTCGGTGGCGGCGGCTGCGTGGAAGCACTCCGCCCCAGGTGGAGGGGGTGATGGACGCGAGCCCCGTGCTGGTGCTGCTGCTGCTGCTGCTGGTGCTGCGGCTGCTGCCCGTTGTGTTGCAATGACATTTGGCCGAAGTTGTGGATCGCCGGCGGGATGGGGCTCGACGGAGGTCTCATCACGTGCCGAGGGAGGCATTCTTTCTCTGAAAAGGCAAGGCGCAGACGCACGCTGCATTCAATTTACTTGTAAAGGTACTGTGTGTGAGGCGATCGGTCTCCAGTGGTAACGGGACAATGCCACCCGGGGTTGGCAATCGGAATAAAAACGAGACTCAAAGCAGCCGTTGGTCTCATCATTCAGGGGCTGGTGAGTGTGTGACACCACTATTCGTGAGTCTATGACACCACTATTGGTGAGTGTGTGACACCACTATTGGTGAGTCTGTGTACCACTATTGGTGAGTGTGTACCACTATTGGTGAGTCTGCCACCACTATTGGTGAGTGTGCACCACTATTGGTGAGTGTGTGGCACCACTATTGGTGAGTCTGTGTACCACTATTGGTGAGTGTGTAGCACCACTATTGGTGAGTCTGTGACACCACTATTGGTGAGTCTGTGACACCACTATTGGTGAGTGTGTGTACCACTATTGGTGAGTCTGTGACACCACTATTGGTGAGTGTGTACCACTATTGGTGAGTGTGTGGCACCACTATTGGTGAGTCTGTGTACCACTATTGGTGAGTGTGCACCACTATTGGTGAGTGTGTGGCACCACTATTGGTGAGTCTGTGGCACCACTATTGGTGAGTGTGTACCACTATTGGTGAGTGTGTGTACCACTATTGGTGAGTGTGTGCACCACTCTTGGTGAGTCTGTGGCACCACTATTGGTGAGTGTGTGACACCACTATTGGTGAGTGTGTGTACAACTATTGGTGAGTGTGTGGCACCACTATTGGTGAGTGTGTGTACCACTATTGGTGAGTGTGCACCACTATTGGTGAGTGTGTGGCACCACTATTGGTGAGTCTGTGCACCACTATTGGTGAGTGTGTGGCACCACTATTGGTGAGTCTGTGTACCACTATTGGTGAGTGTGTGCACCACTATTGGTGAGTCTGTGTACCACTATTGGTGAGTGTGTGCACCACTATTGGTGAGTCTGTGTACCACTATTGGTGAGTGTGTGGCACCACTATTGGTGAGTCTGTGGCACCACTATTGGTGAGTGTGTGTACAACTATTGGTGAGTGTGCACCACTATTGGTGAGTCTGTGCACCACTATTGGTGAGTGTGTGGCACCACTATTCGTGAGTGTGTACCACTATTGGTGAGTGTGTACCACTATTGGTGAGTGTGCACCACTATTGGTGAGTGTGCACCACTATTGGTGAGTCTGTCCACCACTATTGGTGAGTGTGTGGCACCACTATTCGTGAGTGTGTACCACTATTGGTGAGTGTGTACCACTATTGGTGAGTGTGTACCACTATTGGTGAGTGTGCACCACTATTGGTGAGTCTGTCCACCACTATTGGTGAGTGTGTGGCACCACTGTTGGTGAGTGTGTGTACCAGTATTGGTGAGTGTGTGCACCACTATTGGTGAGTCTGTGTACCACTATTGGTGAGTCTGTCCACCACTATTTTTGAGTGTGTGGCACCACTATTGGTGAGTGTGTGGCACCACTATTGGTGAGTGTGTGGCACCACTATTGGTGAGTGTGTGCACCACTGTTGGTGAGTCTGTCCACCACTATTTTTGAGTGTGTGCACCACTATTGGTGAGTCTGTGTACCACTATTGGTGAGTGTGTGCACCACTATTGGTGAGTCTGTGTACCACTATTGGTGAGTCTGTGTACCACTATTGGTGAGTGTGCACCACTATTGGTGAGTCTATGTACCACTATTGGTGAGTGTGTACCACTATTGGTGAGTGTGCACCACTATTGGTGAGTCTGTCCACCACTATTGGTGAGTGTGTGGCACCACTATTGGTGAGTGTGTGGCACCACTATTGGTGAGTCTGTGGCACCACTATTGGTGAGTGTACCACTATTGGTGAGTCTGTGCACCACTATTGGTGAGTGTGCACTACAATTGGTGAGTCTCTGGCACCACTATTGGTGAGTGTGTGCACCACTATTTGTGAGTCTGTGTACCACTATTGGTGAGTCTGTGTACCACTATTGGTGAGTGTGCACCACTATTGGTGAGTCTGTGTACCACTATTGGTGAGTGTGTGTACCACTATTGGTGAGTGTGTGGCACCACTATTGGTGAGTGTGTACCACTATTGGTGAGTGTGTACCACTATTGGTGAGTGTTCACCACTATTGGTGAGTCTGTCCACCACTATTGGTGAGTGTGTTGCACCACTATTGGTGAGTGTGTGGCACCACTATTGGTGAGTCTGTCCACCACTATTGGTGAGTGTGTGGCACCACTATTGGTGAGTGTGCACCACTATTGGTGAGTGTGTGATACCACTATTGGTGAGTCTGTGGCACCACTATTGGTGAGTGTACCACTATTGGTGAGTCTGTGCACCACTATTGGTGAGTGTGCACTACAATTGGTGAGTCTCTGGCACCACTATTGGTGAGTGTGTGGCACCACTATTGGTGAGTGTGCACCACTATTGGTGAGTCTGTGCACCACTATTGGTGAGTGTGTGGCACCACTATTGGTGAGTCTGTGTACTACTATTGGTGAGTCAGTGCACCACTATTGGTGAGTCTGTGTACCACTATTGGTGAGTGTGTGGCACCACTATTGGTGAGTCTGTGTACCACTATTGGTGAGTGTGCACCACTATTGGTGAGTGTGTGATACCACTATTGGTGAGTCTGTGGCACCACTATTGGTGAGTGTACCACTATTGGTGAGTCTGTGCACCACTATTGGTGAGTGTGCACTACAATTGGTGAGTCTCTGGCACCACTATTGGTGAGTGTGTGGCACCACTATTGGTGAGTGTGTGGCACCACTATTGGTGAGTGTGCACCACTATTGGTGAGTCTGTGCACCACTATTGGTGAGTGTGTGGCACCACTATTGGTGAGTCTGTGTACTACTATTGGTGAGTCAGTGCACCACTATTGGTGAGTCTGTGTACCACTATTGGTGAGTGTGTGGCACCACTATTGGTGAGTCTGTGTACCACTATTGGTGAGTGTGTGGCACCACTATTGGTGAGTGTGTACCACTATTGGTGAGTGTGTGGCACCACTATTGGTGAGTCTGTGTACCACTATTGGTGAGTCTGTGGCACAACTATTGGTGAGTCTGTCCACCACTATTGGAAATAAAATAAAATAACCTCAATACTTACCTGCTCGTTATAAAGACTCGAAACTGCATCGACCACCTGCCTCCCCGTGCCTGCCCTGTTATCCTTCCACCCTTCCCCTACCCTCTTCTGGGCTTCCGTGCCCCATGAACAGATTTACCTGCCGGCCATGCCACTGTGGACTGGGGAGTGATTGCTGTGCCTGTCGTGCTTACGATGATCATTTACAAGTTTTCCTTTGCGGCGTTTGTGGGACATAACCATCTGACGGAAAAAGGAAAAGCATTGCTACGATTGATGGATGCTTTTGCAGCAAATGCTTTTGTGTCACCTCGATATAATCTGCGCCGACACCTTCGTATCGATCAGTCAAACGTCAGATGTTTACTGACAGAGGTTTGGAGACCCCGACTCCGCTCACCGTACGAAGTTGTTCGTAGCGGTAATTTTAACACAAACGGGTTTCGCGACCAATGTTACGATTTAAGATTGACGTTTTGGGCCAGATCACGCATTTGAACTGTGTTATGTACACCACCTCCCCTCCACAATTCTGGCACCTACTTGATGATGCTGGCTGCTGCAGCTACCAGCGAAATGTCGCGGACTCCATTGTTTTTTACGTGCCTCTCCAACAACAACACGGGTGGCATTGAAGCAGTGATAAATTGGCTACGTTTATTCACGCGACAACTTCACAAGTTGGCTGTGCCTGAGTGAAGGTGGGTTTCCGACACACATGATTACTTACGTGATCTGACGCGTGAAATCACTTGTGTTCGTCGGTGGTGTTCTGTTTACGGGGAGGTTGTAGGACCAGTGTAATTAAAGCTGTCTAAAATGTAATTGCTTCAGAATATCAGTGTGACTCACATGTAAATTTATGATTTTAGCATCATCATATTTTATTTTAATTCACGACCTAGTGGTGGGACAATAATGCATGGTAAGGTAACGGTATAAAGCGGGGGTAGTGACCCCACCTTAAAGTATTTTTTTTTTACATTACAGTACATACAGTGAGGGAAAAAAAGTATTTGATCCCCTGGTGATTTTGTACGTTTGCCCACTGACAAAGAAATGATCAGTCTATAATTTCAATGGTAGGTTTATTTGGACAGTGAGAGACAGAATAACAACAACAAAAATCCAGAAAAACGCATGTCAAAAATGTTATAAATTGATTTGCATTTTAATGAGGGAAATAAGTATTTGACCCCCTCTCAATCAGAAAGATTTCTGGCTCCCAGGTATCTTTTATATAGGTAACGAGCTGAGATTAGGAGCACACTCTTAAAGGGAGTGCTCCTGATCTCAGCTTGTTACCTATACAAGACACCTGTCCACAGAAGCAATCAATCAGATTCCAAACTCTCCACCATGGCCAAGACCAAAGAGCTCTCCAAGGATGTCAGGGATAAGATTCTAGACCTACACAAGGCTGGAATGGGCTACAAGACCATTGCCAAGCAGCTTGGTGAGAAGGTGACAACAGTTGGTGCGATTATTCGCAAATGGAAGAAACACAAAAGAACTGTCAATCTTCCTCGGCCTGGGGCTCCATGCAAGATCTCACCTCGTGGAGTTGCAATGATCATGAGAATGGTGAGGAATCAGCCCAGAACTACACGGGAGGATCTTGTCAATGATCTCAAGGCAGCTGGGACCATAGTCACAAAGAAAACAATTGGTAACACACTATGCTGTGAAGGACTGAAATCCTGCAGCGCCCGCAAGGTCCCCCTGCTCAAGAAAGCACATATACATGCCCGTCTGAAGTTTGCCAATGAACATCTGAATGATTCAGAGGACAACTGGGTGAAAGTGTTGTGGTCAGATGAGACCAAAATGGAGCTCTTTGGCATCAACTCAACTCGCCGTGTTTGAAGGAGGAGGAATGCTGCCTATGACCCCAAGAACACCATCCCCACCGTCAAGCATGGAGGTGGAAACATTATGCTTTGGGGGTGTTTTTCTGCTAAGGGGACAGGAAAACTTCACTGCATCAAAGGGACGATGGACGGGGCCATGTACCGTCAAATCTTGGGTGAGAACCTCCTTCCCTCAGCCAGGGCATTGAAAATGGGTCGTGGATGGGTTTTCCAGCATGAGAATGACCCAAAACACACGGCCAAGGCAACAAAGGAGTGGCTCAAGAAGAAGCATATTAAGGTCCTGGAGTGGCCTAGCCAGTCTCCAGACCTTAATCCCATAGAAAATCTGTGGAGGGAGCTGAAGGTTCGAGTTGCCAAACGTCAGCCTCGAAACCTTAATGGCTTCGAGAAGATCTGCAAAGAGGAGTGGGACAAAATCCCTTCTGAGATGTGTGCAAACCTGGTGGCCAACTACAAGAAACGTCTGACCTTTGTGATTGCCAACAAGGGTTTTGCTAAGTCATGTTTTGCAGAGGGGTCAAATACTTATTTCCCTCATTAAAATGCAAATAAATTTATAACATTTTTGACATGCGTTTTTCTGGATTTTGTTGTTGTTATTCTGTCTCTCACTGTTCAAATAAACCTACCATTAAAATTATAGACTGATCATTTCTTTGTCAGTGGGCAAACGTATAAAATCAGCAGGGGATCAAATACTTTTTTCCCTCACTGTATATTCAGCACGTAGTATTTAACCTAAGGGCATTTTTAAATGAAGGTTTAAAGGAACCGCCAAATCTACCATGTTTCTGCAGCCATTTGCACCGTTTAAAATGTTGAATTTGTTCAAATTCACCAATTCCACGATCCACCCGTTTGTGACCTTACGTGGTCATAACGAAACCATAGCCTCCCCCACCCCCACCCCCTTACCTGTTGCGTGTGCTCCTGGGTGCTGGGCTCTTGCACCCACGTGGGCGAGCACGGAGTGAGGCCGTGCCGGGTAGGTTACGGGGCAGTGAGGCCCCGACAGTGAGCGGAAGTTCTTGTTGCAGTTGCTCTGAGTTTTGGAGAAGGGAGGTGCAGAGTTGCCCCTCTTGGGCCCGGCCTTCTGCTCCTTTGACAAAGCTGTCGAATGGGGCGTCGTTGGTCACACCTCGTGTCCTTTCGGGTTCCGCAAGGAGGTCAGTCTCATTAAGCTACTAATCACGGTTACTTGAGGCTGGGGTCGCATCATGATCTGGCCACATTTCTGTTGCAAGACCCAGATCGTTAGTATTACGTGGCCTAACCCCGCAAACATCCATTCTGCATGATAATTACGGCCGTGAAATCCGACAGCTGTAACTCACAGCACGTCAATTTAGGGTCACCCGCAACAAAAAGACAACGGCGTAGGTAACGGTCGCGATAATGTCCATCTTGTAACAAGCCACCGCACGGCATTCGCTCCTCGCCCTCGTAGAGAGAGAACGACTCAAAGGCCCGAGGAGGAACGACAGACGAGCGGGAAGGCAGCAGCCACGCGATGGGCCGGCGCCAACAATCGCCCAAGCTTCGCGGTCCTCTATGTATTAAGATGTTACTGGCCAATTAAAAAATGTTTACATGTGGGAGGAAACCTGAGCACCTGGAGAAAACTCGTGCACGCTCGGGGTAAAACACTCCATCCAATACAGATGGAACAGGTGAAATCCACATTTTTGCTGTTTCCGCCTTCTCCTAGCAATGAAGCCGGGGTATGGATCCACCTCAACGCCCACGGGACGGGAGTTTCACGACAATCTCTGTGTGGCCCACCAACCCTCGCCGCCTCCACAGTGCTGGGTTACAGGCCACGTGCCTGCCACTGCCGCCCAGCCAAAGCCAGATGCTCCGTGGAGCATCGTGCTCCTCGCTCAGTGTCCGCTGGACTGTAGGCTGCACAGTGCACAATGAAAGCCTAAAACTATAAACGAATAAATACAGGCCTGAATGCCAGACATTGAAAACCGATTGCTCTTTGTGTTTAATTTATTTGCCCTTTAGCCGCACCTCCAATCAGCATGGTTGACTACGAACGGTGCAAAAGAAGTTAAACGCACGCGCAGAGGGTCACTCTGATTTGATAGCATGCATCGCGTTGAGGCGCACATGCTCTGGCTTGCTAGGAGAATGTAGCACAGCAAAAACATATGTTTGCTCCACCGTATCCACCTGTATGGGATAGAGTGTTTCCCCCTCACACAAATGTCAACCATTCATTAATTGCTCAGTAACAACATACAGAGGACCGCAGAGCTTGGGCAATTACTGGGAGCGCCGGGCTCACCGCCTGGACGCTGCCTTCTCGCTCATCTGTTGTTCCTCGTCGCGATTCTATCCTATTCCTAAGTTGCCCTCTATCCAGAGTGGCATCTAAGACCTTTGTTTTTGTCTCGTTGCTGCCATCTCTAATGCCCTGCGCGCCTCCTCTCTCTCTCTCTACGGGAGTGAGTGAATACTGTGCGGGGGCGTTACAAGCTGAAATCATTATAATTATTGTTATGATCTACACTTCGCATTTTTTCCCTTCGGGTAACGCTTGCACATTCCTTTCTTCAATCGTGTGGCCCCGAAGTGTTGTTGCCTCGTGCCGTCGTTAAAAGTTAACGACGGTGCATCGAGCCCCGCTGTTGTGCCACTTACGTGCAACCGAAGTCCGGTCATCGGATTTCGTTGGGCTGTCTGCGATAGGCGTCACGTAGTCTCGCTGTAAAACAGAGCCACAGAACATATTCGGCTGAGCCACTGGTATCACGTGATTTAAATGCCACAGCATCTCGTGGCTTTGCCGAGCTCGGCAAGGAGCACAACAACATCGCGCAAACTCCGCTCACCCTCGCCAGCAGCGGCGGCTTTTGGCTGACCATTGAACAAAGACGGTCACCGCATCGCGCGCTTTCAGATGGGCTTCTCTGGCCGTCTGGAACGCTCTTCCTGCGGATTATAGGAAGCCTCTGGAGCCGTGCACTTTGAAACTAAATTGAAAACTAATTTCTTCAGAGCTATCTTTCGTGTTTAGTTTGTTGTCTTTCCCCCTGCGAAAAATTAAAATATAACTTACTCTTAAAATAATAATCTCAGAGGTTATTGATTTTTAAACTTTACAGCCAAACATTGAGAGCCACCAAGGAAGGAAAACAATATCTTGTTCGCAAACCCAAACAATAAAATAAAATTAACAACTACACAATACCACACAAAGCCAACGCCTCCAGCAGCTGGACATCGCCCACGACGGGGCTGAAGGGGTAACCTTTTATATTTCCTCAACGCAAAGTAAGCGTGGCCACAGGCTTCCAAGTGTCGACCTGCGGAGCACGGCTACTCTGCTGCAACGCTATGCCTTGGACAATGCGACTGAATATCGCAAATGCCACTGATTGTGAGGCATCCGTCGCAACAAGAGGCACGACTAGCGCAGCCTGCGGGCTTTGTTGAAACGAGGCAACGACCCCCTGCAGCAAAAAATGGAACGGCTGTTAAACTGCAACAAAGATATCTCGTGAGAGTGCGACCCTTGGCGACAGAAGACGCGCGCCATGAAGAATGTGCAAGCTTTGATTAAAATCCACGGAGTGTACGGCCACGGGGGGGGGGGGGGGGGAGAAAAACACAAAAACACAATCTTACGTCGCTTTCTTGATCCTTGGTATGCAAATTGAGGCGAAAAGACTCGGCCAGAGGAGCGGAGGGCACGGGTCTCTGCTGCACGATGAACGATCGGCGTTCATCTGGGCAAGAGCGGTCAACAAGGGAGAGAGGTGGACAACGCTGACTCTGGCAGCGCTGCTCCGCGCCCTGCCCGTTCCACGGCACTCGATCTCGGGCCGGCTCCCGTCCTCGGCGGCACGCGCGGGCGCGACCGGGGGAGTTGAGAGGGCCGGGGGGTGGGGGCTGACGGCCGTCTGCCGCTGCTGCCGCGTACTGCACAAGCGCGCGGCCAACGGAGAGGGGAGGGCGGGGAGGTGGGGGGTGGGGTGGAGGAAGGGGGCCCGGATCGGCCACGGAACGGCACGGAGGGGAACTCCTCTGTCCCAGCTTGAGAACAGCGGCGCAGCTGGGACTTTACCGCGGCGGTGGCATACCGGGTACGAAGCGCTGAACTACGGAGTGGAGACCGAGAGAAGGCAAGAGGAGGAGGAGGAGCAGGAGGAGGACGGAGAGGGTTAAGGGCGGCAGCAGCGCCACACGATCAAATAATTCAGATGTCACTCTGGATAGGAGGCAACTAGGAATAGGAGGGAATGGAAGATCAAGGACGGTCATCGCATCGCGCGCTTTCACATGGGCTTCTGCGGCCGTCTGGAACGCGCTTCCTTCCGGTCATAGGAAGTCACTGGAGCTGCGCAGATTGAAATTACATTTCTTTAGAACTGCTTTTATGTGTTTATTTTGCTGTCCTTCCCTCGCACCGCCGATTAGCACGGTTGCCTACATGCGGTGCAAAAAAAGTTCAACATACAGTACATACAAGGGGCGGGGGTGGGGGGGGCTTTTGCCCCAGCAGGGCGAAGTCACCGGCCGACGACGACAACAATGGACGAGGCAGGGGAATGGAACGTCACCGTGCCGGATCACTCCAATGCTGCCAGGGCTATTGCGTTGCTGCAGCTGCACGAGAGAGAAAAAAAAACTACGAGCAGGGCCTGGGGTTCAATGGCTTCTTTCCGTGGCGGCGTTGCACGTGTGCACACAGGGCTACGTGGATCGCAACCTGTGCTCTGACAATCCCAGCTTTTTGGGCGGTGAGGCGGTCAGCAGTTTGCTGGTGGGTGCCTGGCCCATCAGCGTGGGCTCTTGAAATCACAAGACACTGTGTGACCGAAACTTATTGCAGCATTTCTGGACAATTGCATTTTTATTAACTTCACGCAAGTTCATCGTGATCATTTTCACAGCCCTTTGTCGATTAAAAAAAATATATGAATCATTTGGCGGGACCCTGGGGTCCCGCAAAATTCAGGTCAATAATTATTATTATTATTTCTCAGTCCGCCCACTACGTGATCCCGACAGCAACGCGCCGCCCGCCCAGACTCGCGCCAACAAGCGCCAGCAGGAGGCGGCGATCGACACGATGGGCGCCACCCCACCGGCTACACGCGAGCCCCGGGGGGCGATGCCGCCCTCCGGTCAGCCGTCGATCCTCAGCTTCTTTGCCAAGGCGAGCCCGCCCCCCCAGGCAGTGAATTTAACGGGGTCCCGCCAATTGCTTCATATATAAATTTTAACTTGTAATGTGCATTGTATTTTGCTCACTCTCGGAGAGAGAGAACAAATCAGAGGCGGGCGGAGGAACCCGCAGACGAGCGTGAAGGCAGAAGCCGGCGCTACCAACAATGGCGCAAGCTTTGAGGTAATGTCAAGGTGTTTATCGGCCAGTGACTGAGTGTTTATACACGTGGGAGGAAACTGGAGCACCTGGGGAAAAACCCAAACATTAAAAGCCAATGGTCTCCGCACAACATGTAAGTCATGGGGGGGTTTTTTTGACCATACTTCACCGAGCCGTGGGTTGGCAACGACTGCTTCGCATATCACTCGCCACTGTTAGCCACAGCCGGAGAAAGTTAAACTCGGGTTATTACGCCGGCCTGTCCACATTACATTATGACCACTGCTCGCTTCCCACAGAGTAATTTTAGTAATGCCACCGAAGGAAGGATGATGGGCTGAGTCACCCAGAGCTGGAATTCAACGTTCCACCGTGAATCAAAGGCTCTGCTGAATCATGCGATCCTTTAAGATTCACTTACAATCTAGAGCAGGGGTGGGCACGTTTTTTGACTTGCGGGCCACAATGGGTTCTAAAATTTGACAGAGGGGCCGGGCCAGGAACAGATGGATGGAGTGTTTGTGTGAACTAATATAAATGACATGTGAAAATCATTACATGAAAAGATTTGGCCTTTAACAGGTAGCAAAGCATTTATTTGCAAGGCAATTTAACAAATTGCACGAACATGAACAATACAAAAACATGTCGTAACTCCCGGTCAAAGTGCGCCATCTAATGGTGAAATGGGGGCATTACAGAAGAAAGGTAAAATTTAATTTAATTTAATAATAATATTTGGACAAGTTTGGCGGGCCGGATTAAAAAGCCCAACGGGCTGTATACGGCCCAAGGGGGCCGTACTTTGCCCGTGTCTGATCTAGAGGGTATTTGGCCTACTCTTCCAATACTGGCCAGTGAACCTTGGTCGAGGTGGGAACACCAACACTTTTACCCCCATCACACACGTGACCCCAAGTACACTGCTGGGTGGACAGAGGTGGGTGGTGGGAAGGGGCGTTTGATAAACTCGCCCTCCCCCCCCCCCACGTTGTTTCAACTACCACGCAGTTGAAACAATGGGCGCAAGATAGGATCGACCCAGTGACCTCTGGATTGCAAGTCCAGAGGTCACTGGCACATAATTACACTATTAGACCACTTAATTTGTTAAGACGATATATATCAGTATGCGTCCAGTGCAACACGATATGTTACATGTGTGAGTGCGACGCCGCAGAGTATCCGCTCGTTCTCGGAGAGAGAGAGAGAGAGCGACTCAGAGGCACGAGGAGCAACCACAGAATACGAGGGTAAGGCAGCAGCCACACGATGAGGTCCTCTATATATGAACCCTTTCCCATTCCGAGACACCTGCAAGTTACAGGGTGGGCGTTGTCCCGTTCACCGCTGAATCTCAGAACGCGCGAGCGGCTCGGCGTTCATTTTATTCCAAGAGGCGTAGTAGCGCCGTTGTTTTTAAAGACATTGTTACTCACCGCCGAGAACTGTAGCGGCACGAGCACACTGCTGGCGCCAAGCTGCGCCGCACGCCCTCCCGAATGAATGTCCCTGTGGCAGGATCGGTACCGATGAAGGTATTTTATTTTATCTTTTCCTTCCGGTTTTGTTTCGATGATGTAACACGTACGTCATCGGAACGGAATCGGAATAAAAGCCGATGACGTACACGCACGTCATCGGAAGGGGAGAGGGCTAACGGCGTTATCGGCCCAACGCGTGAGCGACGTACCGGCGTAGACGCCGTCGTCGCACGTGCGGGCCGGCACCACGGAGGGGCTGTTGTTGTCGGGGCTCTTGGGTGGCAGCTCGTACTCCGGAGGGTCCTCCTCGTCGGGCTTGTCGTAGTCGTGGTCATTGGGTTCCAGAGAGGCCCCAGGCTGCACGTAGTCATCGTCCGTGTCGCCCTGCGCACGCGCAGACAGCTGACGAGTCTTGGCACGGCTCTCTCCTACCCTCTCTCCCACGTGGGTTTCTGGGCGGTGCCGCTCGTCGTCCGGCACGATGTCCGACGTTTCGCTTCGCAATTGCGGGGAGCGAGTTCAAGAGCCGATATGTGAGGAGGAGCTCCCGGGCATCGTGCCGGACGACGGGCTCTTTTTTTAGAAGCGACCTGGCCACAAATGATAGCTCAGCGAAGTAGCTTACCATGTGGAAATTTACAGGAGATTCTAAATGTGGAGAGAAAAACCGGAGGACCCGGACAAAAATCCAGGAGACCACGGGCAGAGAGACACGCAAACCCCAAATATACAGCAAGCGTCAGGGGTCGAGATCCAACCCACGACCTCCTGCATACCAGGAGAGGGAGTTAACATCTCGCCGCAGCACAACGGTGAGAGCGGCGACCACGTGGTGGCCACCCACTCAATGTGCTCGGTCAAAGCGAGTGATCGTCGGGGCTGGCTGCGTGAATTGTGCTGAGACACGAGGCACCAAAGGTGAAACGCTGATTTCCATTCATACTAAGCCATTTGCGGAGCCTAAACCGCTGTAATGAATAATTGCCACAACGCACAGCGATATAATTTCATTTCACGGCTCGATGACACTTTACAAATCTTCAAATCTCGACTAAGAAATGTCTCTCTCTTTAGTTATTTAAAAAATGTCTTTCTCACTTCTTCTTTCCTTGGTTGATGCTCCACTATTTTCCGCCTTTCCATGCACAGCGCCCTGAGAACGATTGCTTGTTTTTTTGAACGGAGGCAGGGGGGGGGTCCCAGAGCCCCAGAACACAGTTCGGATATCGCTTGCGACTGATGCCAGCCATGGCCAGGAATTGAAATTGGGTGGCTGGATTCATGACTGCAGTACGTTTAAATTACGGCTCACCCAAAACTTGTCATCTACGGCGGGCGGTTCAATGGAAGTCACATAATTCGGTGCAATTTTTGTTAACTTGTATGTGAAGGTGTCTAAAAGGTGTTAAAAGAGGAATTTACCGTCCACACACGCTAATGAAAGCCTTACATTTGTTAGCAGTGTTTGCTGCGATAGCGATTTGTTGGTCGCTGGCTGTTGTTATTGTGTTCGTGCGCATACGTTTGGGTTTTCTTCGGGTGGATCGTCGTAGTCTTGATCGTCGTCCTCCTCTGCCTCGGGCTGTGCCGCGTACGTGCTGTGCCCAAACTCCTTTGCTGGCTTCTGGGAGCTTTGAGGGCGCCCGTATGGCGTATGTGGCTGCTGAATGAGTACATGAACACATACGAGAGTAAAAAGGTAACATCGAAGGGGTTTGTGCCATTTCCAAAGCAACATTTATGTCCAACGAGCAAGGCCGAGGGAAGCTGGCCTCTGGGATAGCTGTAGATATTTTCACAATACACCAACATTTGTTGTTAATGCTTGGTCCCCAACCGAAAAATAGTTGAGGGTGGACAGCGGTGGTTGGGACCAAATATTTCCCAGCAGTATTTGTTTCAAGTTGTAACAAAGCAAATATATTTTTTTTAATAAATCTGTTCTGGATTCACCTTCTCCGAGTCTCATCAGCAGGGATGTGGCCTGTTCAACCAACCCTGCCGCTCTGTCTGGTCTTCACAGAAGAGAACCCCACACACGAAAACCGTGGGGCTCAGAAAACATGTTTTGATTGGGTAGAACGCCAACGCGCGTCGTCGTCATCATCTTTCATCGTCGTACACCCTCCACCATCCCGACGCGGCCGATTAATGCGGTTTGTCACGTCAACAAATGTGGCCAATTTTTACATCATTAGACCTCCTTTCCCAGTACCAAAATGTAATAATAGGGTTTTCCCCTTTTTTCTGGCAACAAAACTGATACCTTGTTTTTACGAGGATTCATGTCTGCATTAACCTCAATACTTGCAGTCAAAATGCCTTTTGGCGTCATCTGGTCGAACACCAATTGGGTCGAGGCTCAAAAGAAAGCCGTCCCTTAGTGTGGACCAATCAGTTTCAAGGACAATGCATATATTTTCATAGTATGTTTTTTGTTTGCATTTTAACTGCAGGTATTGTGGTTAATGCAGACATGAATCCTCGTATGAAAACGGTTTCAGTTTTGTTGCCAGAAAAAAAGGGGAAAAACCCTATTATGGCCAATTTGTATTCGCTGCTTAAGTACACCGGGCATGTGCTGCTGTTGTAGAGCGTTCCAGAGCACATTTACTGACGCGGCACCATGGGGCGCCGGTGAGTGCGGTGCAGGGGAAACACCAAATCATCTGGCTCGGTAGATTTGCGGGGGGGGGGGGGGGGTCGAAGTAATAAATAAATAAATAAGCGCGGGCAGGAAAGGGGTTTCTTTCATTTTGCCGATTAAACAAACCCAAATTTAAATATTACTTTAACTTATATTTCACGATCCAGCTAAAGTTAAGGACAAACGTAAAGTACGCACAGTTATAAGACCTCGTGGGTCAGAGTGTTCCCAAACTTTAGCTTTTTTAAAATTAAAATATCTCAGCCGGATACATCCCCTTGAAATGGGAACGTCTCACTTGCAAAGGTGTTGTTATCAAAGTGGTGCGTGCACAGCGCACAAATTACCGACGCGGTATATACACACACAGACAAGGTATTACCCACAATGCAACAGACTAGCTGAAGTCATAACAGGTTTTATTTTGTGTTAGATCGCGTAAATATAAATGTTTAGTTAAACCCGCCACCACCCGACAGCCAATTAGTAAGGTTTGTCACGTAAAAGGAACATTCCGATTCGTTACTACTGTAATAAGAGAGCGCCATCTCCTGTATTATTGTGGGCGGTATATTACCTCATACAGTCTATGTTATCTATAGTGGTCATTACATCTAGGTGAAAGGTGATGGGGCGGATCCACCAGGGAAGCCTCTGGAACGTTCCCGAAGGTTCCAGGAGGGGCGTGGCCAGAGGCGGGGCTTAGCCTCCAGGGAGCGAATAGAAGCCGGGGGCACAGCAACGTTAGGGGTCGGTTTGTGAAGATCAAGAGGAGCTCCCCGTCGCTGCTGCCCCGCAGGCTCCACCTGCCACGTGGTGGCTCAACCTCCACCCACTCAGCCGCTCCCTAGCGCGCCGTCAGCCGGCAGCGTGTTGGCAAGCGGGTGAGCGCCACGTGGCGCGGGGCAGCGCAGCAACACAAGCGGGCGGACATCCGCGGAGAGAGAGAACAAGTCTGTACCGAAGATTTTATTAGTAAACAACTTCAAGTCTTTTACCGTGTCGGAGCCACTCATTACTAGTACAACACACTGGTGTGCTGTACTAGTAACGAATCGGCACGTTCTGTTTACGTGACACACCTTACTAATTGGCTGTGTCGGGTGGTGGCGGGTTTAACGACACATTTATATTTACGCGATCTAACCCATAAATAAACCCTTTATTATGGATGATATTGGTCGCGAAAGTCTCCTACTTGTTAAATTACCTCAAATCAGCCACGGCCACAAATAGGATGTCACATCATAGTCGTCGTGAACTGCCATCAGGACGCTTTTTGTTTTCGTTTGCAAAAGCAATGGGAATGCCTTGAATAAAATCAAGGACATTTGCAGAATATTAAATCTGCACGTAACCATGAATTGAAAGGACTGGAAAGAGAATCGACTTGGACGAAATGTATGTGTTGCATTTCAGTATGTGCACCGTACCGTTCACACATTTAAACTGAAAGTTTTTTTTTTTTATTTAAAGCTTTCGTGACTGCAGTGATTAATATTTGAAATATATTTTATTATTTAATTGTTTCCCTTCAACGTGACTTTACCGAAAGAACCAATAATACGAATGTTTATTGTTTTTATAAACAAACAGAAAGATCGTCGCAATTATTTAATACCTTTTTGTTTTTTTTGCGAGACAGATTTCCCAAGACCACTCACAGTGAAGCTGCAAGGTTGACACGTTCTCGAAGCTCGACATGAGGGCCGAGTTTACAAACTCGTGGACGACGAGGGGAATGACGCCACTCCGAGAATGCGGACAGATCAGGGGCCCTTAGGTGGCGTTCGTTCGTTCATCGCGCACTGTCGGCCAAGGACCTTTGTCGCCGACCTCTTGCGGCGACAGCGTTCGTACGAGCACGCCCTTGGCTGCCGTACACCGGCGTCTCGAGCGATTTGTTAATTTGTTTGAGCCACGGATCACGGGGTGGTGGTGGTGGTGGGGGGGCAGGCGACCACGGTGGGGGTGAGGGGGGCCACGCCAATCCTTTGAGCGGGGTCGCAGTCTCTCGCGCCGAACGTCGACCGCCAACCGAAGTGCCGCGACTTTGCCGCCGGAGTGCGCGCAGTCGCAGGTCAAATCGAGTGTTTGTTTCCGTGGCTTCCGTAGCCCGGGGGGCGAACGACGCCGCGCGAATCAATCCGCATGTCTATCGTCATCGTCAGCCGCAGCTGTCGACTGATAACGATGGGTGTGCGTAACGATGTAGACGTTGCGGCCCTTCGCCACATTCTTGCCAAGAGGAAACGCGTTGTGAGAAAGACACTGAGCTGGTAGGTGAGGTTATAACTCACTCTGGTCAAGGTGGCTCAGCGCGGTAAGAGGGGCTCGCACTAGATTTACCCATATTATGCCGTGCCGCTTATTTGGTGATGCTGCTGCAATGCCACTGTTAACAATAACAACTCAACACACTCGTCGACAATACTGTGGCTTTAAAATATATATGAAATCGGAAACGTTTTGGGCAATGACCCCTCTGACGGAAGGTCCTCCGCTAGACGGAGCCCCAGACAGCCCCTCTGGAGGGTATTTAGGCCTATCCTTTACACACCGGCCAGACGTCTTGGAAGCGGTGGGGGTATCCACACTTTGCCCCACCGCACGCGGCCTGCCGATCGTATAATAGGTGTCTCCATTCACGCCGTTAGTGCCGACAGAGGTGAGAGAATTCACGAGAACTTGGCCGTTGTTTCAACTGGGGTACCCCGGGAGATCACACTGGGTGACCCCTGAGCTGCAAGTCACAGCGTGCTGACCACGACGCCACACGGCAGCATCCCCATCGATGCATTGTGAGTTGTGAAATGTTTGACCAATGGGTTATATTATTCTGCAGACCCAGCAGTATGGATTTTAATTGACTTTTACAGCATTGTAGTTACAACCACTGTGCAGGTTCTGCTTACAATCGCGTCCTCATCTGTTGGCTTCTCATAGTTTTGTCCATCGTCCTCCTCGTCACATCGTCGCTCCGCTCCTCTTGCGTTGTACGTGGACTCCTTCGCCGCTGCCCTGTGGAAGCTCTGGGGGTTCACCCGGTGTGCTTGCAGCTGCGAAATGAGAAGAGCAAACGTTGCTTTCCTCATTCCGTGCAACTCGGGGTCATTTTACTCGTAACTTTTTCGTAAATGTTTTCATGGAAGATTACTTGCGCTACTCGCGTTCACCAATTGTGTAACAGCCCCTACTGGACATCTGTGAAAAGAGCTTCATAGCTCATCGGCTTCCTCCAGTGTAAAAGATTCTGATTCTGGTATAAATGAGCACGCGATACATATATCCCCCTTATTGAAACTGCATTCAATTAAAATGTCAATGAACGCAAGGTTTTAAAACGTATCGTACGATAGTATTTTGATTACAAACTAACATGACCCAAGTAAAATGAAGCAATTAAAAAAGAGTTACCTTCATATTCACTTGCGCCGAATTGCCACGGTAAGCATAAATAGTGTTTATGGTTTTTGTCATCTTCAGTTAATGTGAACTACATTCAGGCCCTTTCAGTTCATGGGAACGGTACTCACGTCCAGGGCCTCATCAGTCGGTACTATTAGTTCATGTGAACGGTACTCACCTCCAGTTCCTCATCGATGGGTACTTCATAATCTTCATCTTCTTCTTCCTCCTGCTGAGCCCACGAGGCCTTTGGGCTCTGTGGGGTGTCCTGGCCCTGCCTCGGGATGCTTGATTGATGCGGATCGTCTGGCTCCTGTGGTTTGTAGGTAGGATATAAAACGAATTAACAAGAGCGAAAATGATCATCTATAAATTAATATTAGCACGTTGAAAAATATATATTTACATACAAAATTCAAAGGACCTTTGTTTGTACTTTGTATAAAATATAGAACGTACAACATTCGTGATATGCCGCACCTCTGGGTTGTGTTCGCAACTCGCTGCATAAATTCTGCTCGCTATCAGGCGGTATTGCTCCTGCATTATAATGATCAATTTAACGCCATTTGTTTTCAGTGATCTAAATTTACGCGTGGAATTTTACAGCAACTCATCGCAGCAGCAGCAGCAGCGGCGGCGGCGTCCATGTAAATTTAAGCTTTCCACAAAATGAACATACGACACTGTCGGAATGTCAGCAAATAAATAAATAACAAATACCAGTGAACAAGTGTTGATCGTATCTGGATTCAAATTAATGATATCCATCTGCAGTGTTGGTTGTGTTGAATGTAGCGTAGAAACTCGTGACACCCGGGCTATGAGAAGGCTACCGTCGCCCACTTCCTGCAAGGGTGGAGGAGGAGGAGGATCAAATATCCACAAACTCCTGAAGCCCTCTCTCCGTGCCTAGCCAGATCCCCACACTGGCATTTAGCTTCTGAACACATTGCCATGCTCAGGAACAGGATAACGTATTGAGAATTGGACGTGAATAAGGGCATTCAAAAATTATGTTATTTAAAAATTAGACTAGAAGATATAACATGTAACACCTTAATATAATACGGTATTTGAGAGCTTCAGTCTTTGATTACTTATAATGTTGAATCGCCCTTGAGTGTAATTAAACGAGAGCTTCTATTGCAGGGGTTCTCTATTTACAAAAAAAACGATTTATTATTTTACTAGGTAAGGCCCACTGAGCTATATAGCTCTTTTTCCAAAGTGATCTGGCCACAAATGATAGCCAATGTATTACCGCTTCAGCATCACCACTGGTGTGTGTGTCGGAGAGCAATCCACACACATTTAACCATTGGGTACAAGACGTTTCGCTGGCAGTTATAGCCAGCGTCATCGGACAGTCGCTAGAATAACGTAAGGGGCTGTCGTCTTTTTTCTGCAGCAGGAGTTAATTCTGGCAACTGCCTGATAATGACATTGGTTGTAACTGCCAGCATGACGTCAAAGTGTCAACTCGACCAAATCATCACTGGATGCACCTGATCTTCGTTGATATCTGAAGCTAGGCAGGTCGGGAGCATGGTTAGTACTTGGCTGGAAGACCATCAGTGCGAAACGGTTATTTGTTGGCGTTGTGACTGCAAAGTGGCCAGGAGGGTGGCAGAACCAGGAAATGGGCTCAGTCCATTTTTTTTTAATTCACTGAACTAGGTCTGCTCATTGGATCTCTCTCCGTGTGCAGCTTATCCCTGACCGTGCGTGCCCTCCTCCCGTGCGCCAAAAGCACGGCAACGATAGTGGGTCCAAGCACCTCGGCAGACGGACCCTCCTGATACAAAAGTCTTGAAACCGAATCATTCTGTGAGCAAGTAAATGACATGAGCATTCACTAGTCTTCTTTGGTTCTTTCGGTAAAGTCACGTAGAATGAGAATAAAATAATCAAATCAAATAACACAATAAAATTATCACGACGTTTCGGCCACAACACAAGTGGCCTTCAGGTGAAAGGAACAAACCTGTCGGGACGACAAAGCTTCAATGAACGCTGTTAAGATTCGCAGGATCTTTTAAGCTGGTTGAGAGAAGTGAGGCACCTTGACAAAGGGGTTTACATATCAAACAGGAGAATTTAGCATTGAAATAGCTGAGGGATTAGCTTGTGACTGGTCACAGAAATAGCTATGTTAAAGTCAAAGCCTACACATCCACAAAGGCACCTAGTACAAATCAAACACGATAATTTAGCATTGAAATAGCTGAGGAATTAGCTTGTGACTGGTCACAGAAGTAGATGTTAAAGTCAAAGCGTACACATCCACAGAGGCACCTCTATTGAGTACATTTATTATATTGATGTAATTTAGACTTAGGTTTTTCGCATCGGTTTACTGTATGATAGTTGAGTTGTTGCAGCCCCTTTGGCATCCATGTACGAGGTGCCTCTGTGGATGTGTATGCTTTGACTTTAACATCTATTTCTGTGACCAGTCACAAGCTAATCCCTCAGCTATTTCAATGCTAAATTCTCATGTTTGATTTGTAATAGGTGCCTCTGTGGATGTGTAGGCTTTGACTTTAATATAGCTATTTTTGTGACCAGTCACAAGCTAATCCCTCAGCTATTTCAATGCTAAATTCTCCTGTTTGATATGTAAACCCCTTTGTCAAGGTGCCTCACTTCTCTCAACCAGCTTAAAAGACGCTGCAAATCTTAACAGCGTCCATTGAAGCTTTGTCGTCCCGACAGGTTTGTTCCTTTCACCTGAAGAAGGCCACTTGTGTTGTGGCTGAAACGTCGTGAGAATTTTATTGTGTTATATTATTTTATTATTTTATTCTCATTCTACGTGACTTTACCGAAAGAACCAAAGAAGATGAATCCTTGCAGTCACAAAAGCTTTAAATCGAAACATTCACTAGTCTCTTTAGTCCACGCAAACCGACCGACAGACCGTATGTGGAGAGAATGCTAAACTGTTCAATTGGCAACTACTTCAATTGCCTGGGCTCATAAAGTATCCCACGATGTACGAACTTCTTTAGCACCATACGGAGCCAATCGTGCCAATCGGAGGTGCGGTGGAAGGAGAACAAACGAAGCACAAAACTCAGTTCTAAAGAAATTACTTTTCAATTAAGATGTGAAAGGGCTCAGGCTTTGTTATTGCACAAATTGTGTTATTACAGTTATAAAAGACATGGAATACACGAAATAGGATTTGCATGTAAAGAACCTGCTTATTCACACGTCTCGTTGAGACATTTCGCTGTTACCTCTGGATCTTCGTAATTGTGTTCATCATCGTCGTCGTCGTCCTGCTCCTCCTTGCCTGGCTTTTCATATTCCTCACCCTCGTTGTCCTGAACGAATGAAAATAATGAATTGAAGGACGTCCCGCCTAATATGGGAAAATCGTGCCACATCAACGGTAAAATAGCCTTGACCGACTGGAATAACTTTTTACTTTACAAAGGATGACGATGGAAAATTTTGATTTTGATTTTAGTTTACATGTCTTAACTTTCTTTCTTCACATTTCCGACACATGGTGCATTCGAACAATAAACGTGCGGTCTTGCAGAGTGGCCAGGGAGGGTGGCAGAACCAGGAAATGGGCTCAGTCCATTTTTTTTAATTCACTGAACTAGGTCTGTTCATTGAATCTCTCTCCGTGTGGAGCTTATCCCTGACCGTGCGTGCCCTCCTCCCGTGCGCCAAAAGCACGGCAACGATAGTGGGTCCAAGCAACTCGGCAGAGGGACCCTCCAGATACAAAAGTCTTGAAACCGAATCATACTGTGAGCAAGTAAATGACATGAGCATTCCCTAGTCTCTTTAGTCCACGCAAACCGACCGACAGACCGTATGTGGAGAGAATGCTAAACTGTTCAATTGGCAACTACTTCCATTGCCTGGGCTCATAAAGTATCCCACGATGTACGCATGTATGTTGAACTTCTTTAGCACCATTACGGAGCCAATCGTGCTAATCGGAGGTGCGGTGGAAGGAGAACAAACGAAGCACAAAACTCAGTTCTAAATAAATTACTTTTCAATTAAGGTGTGAAAGGGCCCAGGCTTTGTTATTGCACAAATTGTGTTATCACAATAAAAAAAGAAATGGAATACACGAAATAGGATTTGCATGTAAAGAACCTGCTTATTCACACGTCTCGTTGAGACATTTCGCTGTTACCTCTGGATCTTCGTAATTGTGTGCATCATCATCGTCGTCGTCCTGCTCCTCCTTGCCTGGCTCTTCATATTCCTCATCGCTGTTGTCCTGAACGAATGAAATGAATGAATTGAAGGACGTCCCGCCTAACGTGGGAAAATCGTGGCACATCAACGGTAAAATAGCCTTGACCGACTGGAATCACTTTTTACTTTACAGAGGATGACGATGGAAAATTTGGATCTTAATTTTAGTTTACATGTCTTAGCTTTCTTTCTTCACATTTCCGACGCATGGTACATTCGAGCAATAACCGTGCGGAACCTGCGTCACAGGTCACGGGCGTCCCCGTTGTTTGGGATTTTTTGCGGGGTTGGTTGAAATTTTTTTCAAAATGAACGGGGGGTGGGGAGCGAGGGGGGCGGGGGGGGCGGTGAGGAAAGAGGAAGGGAGGGGGGGGAGAGGTCGGATTGTGAGGGCACAGTGAAGCTCGCCACGGCGTTCCCTCGGGAGCGTCGCGTGAGACCACCTGCGGCGCACGTGCGCAGGTGTCGTTGCGCCGAAGTGCCGCTAGAGTGCTCATCGGGTAACGAGACGAATTTGTTCGAGAACGCCAAGGACGTGATGAGTCGCAAGCCGCTCTCCGATCGGAACACATCTGCCACTCCGACTGACTTATGAGATCGCATTTCTTACATCGCTACTTTACAACACTTTAGGACACATCACTGCCTTGGTAAGGATACATCACTTACTTGATTGAGGACACATCACTGCCTTGGTAAGGATACATCACTTACTTGATTGAGGACACATCACAACTTTGGTGAGGTCGCATCACTACTTGAGTGAGGACGCATCACACGGTTTCATAATCGTCAAGTATGCTTTGCTCGATTGATCTTCCTTCATAAGGCGAATCTCATAACTCTGGACTAGTCTCTGAACGTTGCATTATGGGAGAGGCACAATATTTTGGCTGGCCATCAAACAAAGACGGTGACTGCATCACGTGGCGCTTTCAGACGCGCTTCCGTGGCAGTCTGGAACGCTCTTCCGATATTAGGAAGCCACTGGAGCTATGTACTTTTAAATCATCATCTAGGGTTGACAACTCATTTCTTTACAACTGTTTTTTGTGTTGAGTTTGTTGTCCTTCCCCTGCACCTACGATGAGCATGGTCGGCTACGTACGGTGCGAAAGAAGTTCAACATAATAGATTTTTTTTAACTCAGTAATGTTAACCTATATTGATCGAGAACAAGTCTAGAACTTTATATAACCGATTTGTGAGATATATCTTGTATTGCTTACACAAGCACCGGCGGTGGTTTAAAATGAATCTCCTGTATCAACGCATTTGTTGGGTCAACATCAAAGCACAGAAAACGTAACGCATACGGGAAAAATTGGATGTCATAACGTCGCACGACAGAAGGGCTGGCACATTTATCATTCGTAGCTCGGAAATGTTATCAGGAAAAATTGCCACATTGCCTTGAGGTTAGCTCAACGAATTAAAAATAACCCTTCGCCTTTCCTTGGTATCAGATCTTTGTCCCGAGGCTGCCCATGTTTGAGTCGTAGCTCCGTTGTGAAGCTCTCCCAGTCCTTGTTTACGCATTTAAACGATTTTTAATTTCATTTATTTATTATTTTACCAGGTATGGCCCACTGAGCTATGTGGCTCTTTTTTCAGAAGCGACAATGGCAACAAACGATCGCTCAACGAAGTGGCGTGAATATTTCTGGCAGCCAAATACTCGGAAGCGCGTGACGTTGATTCTAAACGTGGGGGGAAAACCCGGAGGACCCGAAGAAAAATCCACACGACCACGGGGAGAGAGAGAGAGACATGCAAATTACAAATATACAGGCGTTAGGGTCGGGATCAAACGCACGACCTCCTGTATACCAGGCAAGATAGTTAACATCTCATAGCCACCGTGATGATGATGAGAGAGACACAGACCTCTTGTATACCAGGCAAGGTAGTTAACATCTCCTAGCCACCGTGATGATGATGAGAGAGACACAGACCTCTTGTATACCAGGCAAGGTAGTTAACATCTCATAGCCACCGTGATGATGATGAGAGTGACACAGACCTCTTGTATACCAGGCAAGGCAGTTAACATCTCCTAGCCACCGTGATGATGATGAGAGTGACACAGACCTCTTGTATACCAGGCAAGGTAGTTAACATCTCCTAGCCACCGTGATGATGATGAGAGAGGCACAGACCTCCTGTATACCAGGCAAGGTAGTTAACATCTCGTAGCCACCGTGATGATGATGAGAGAGACACAGACCTCCTGTATACCAGGCGAGGTAGTTAACATCTCATAGCCACCGTGCTGATGATGAGAGAGACACAGACCTCCTGTATACCAGGCAAGGTAGTTAACATCTCCTAGCCACCGTGATGATCATGAGAGAGACACAGACCTCCTGTATACCAGGCGAGGTAGTTAACATCTCAGCCACCGTGCTGATGATGAGAGAGACACAGACCTCCTGTATACCAGACGAGGTAGTTAACATCTCATAGCCACCGTGATGATGATGATGATGAGAGAGACACAGACCTCCTGTATACCAGGCGAGGTAGTTAACATCTCATAGCCACCGTGATGATGATGATGATGAGAGAGACACATACCTCCTGTATACCACGTGAGGTAGTTAACATCTCATAGCCATCGTGATGATGATGAGAGAGAGACACAGACCTACTGTATACCAGGCGAGGTAGTTAACATCTCATAGCCACCGTGATGATGATGAGAGAGAGACACAGACCTGCTGTACACCAGGCGAGGTAGTTAACATCTCAAAGCCACCGTGATGATGATGAGAGAGACACAGACCTCCTGTATACCAGGCGAGGTAGTTAACATCTCATAGCCACCGTGATGATGATGAGAGAGACACATACCTCCTGTATACCAGGCGAGGTAGTTAACATCTCATAGCCACCGTGATGATGATGAGAGAGACAGACCTCCTGTATACCAAGCGAGGTAGTTAACATCTCATAGCCACCGTGATGATGATGAGAGGGACACAGACCTCTTGTATACCGGGCGAGGTAGTTAACATCTCCTAGCTACCGTGATGATGATGAGAGAGACACAGACCTCCTGTATACCAGGCAAGGTAGTTAACATCTCATAGCCAACGTGATGATGATGACAAGAGAGAGACACAGACCTCCTGTATACCAGGCGAGGTAGTTACCATCTCATAGCCACCGTGATGATGAGAGAGACACAGACCTCCTGTATACCAGGCGAGGTAGTTAACATCTCCTAGCCACCGGCGGGCCTGCCACGTTGGCACTGGTGCACTAGCACGGTGTGTCGCAAACACTCAACAAGCTCGTCAACAACACTGCTGTGGTCTTGGTAGACAGGAAAATAAATATATAATATTTGCGACATTTCGGGGCAATGGCCCTTCTGCATAGCATTGTCTTAACTTGTGGAGCTCACCGCAAAGCCTTTAGCACACGGTAACACATCTCCTACGGGCGGTTTAAACACGATGCCGAAGGATGAACACACAGCTCTTTGTCAATCGACTACTACGACACGACGAGGATTGTCTCTCGCCATACTTCGCCACGATTGTGAGCGTTGATTGTTGGAGGCACTGGGGCTGGTTCAGACGCAACTCGCCACCGATGCTAGCCGTGGCAGGGTACCAAACTCGTGTCCGGCACGTTTATAACGCAATGCGCTAACTGCTGCCCCACAATGAAACCAATAAAACTCCAGGGCCGTAATCTCCCGGTGGCCAAATTTGAATATTTTAGTTCGTGGATTTTTCTGCCTTTGACCAACGACCCAACTTACAGTGTGCCTGTGCCAAACCTCAGCTCTGCAACATTTGGGCGCCACTGTGGTGAGACGTTAACTACCTAGCCTGGTATGCAGGAGGCCGTGTGTTTGATCCCGACCCTAATGCCTGCTGTATATTTGGAGTCTGCATATTCTCCCCGTGGTCGCGTAGATTTTTCTCCGGGTCCTCCGGTTTTTCCCTCCACATTTAGAAACGTGCATTAAAGAATATCTGGCTGCTGCTATAAATTTCCACATGGAAGCCACTTGGCTGAGCTATTATTTGTGGCCAAGGCACTCATGAAAAAGAGCTATATAGCTCAGTGGGCCTTACCTGATAAAAATCAAGTTTTAGTCTACATCACTCAGTGCGTCACGACTTAATTACTCGTAGAATTACCCGTAGAAACGGTCCTCAGAGATCCACAAACAACGGGGATATTCAGATCCCATTGGCCCTCTACGACTTAACAAGATTCACACAAATGAGGAGTTTGCTGGGCCGTACATCTTATAAAGGACACCTCACTTACCCACAAGACAGAGATCCCCCATATAGTCGTTTAGACAAATGTTGTCAGCAGGCAGCTACGAAAGCCTGCACGGTGCACGAGGGGGTGGGTGGCCATAATCACGCTCGGCCACCTTTGTCTCACTACTAGAAATGTCTAAACACTGCACCAGGTACCTATTCGAGGTTGAGTAGACCTAGAGGAGGCCCAGGACAGGTTCAGATAATCGTCACTTGTGTTTGCCTTGAGCGGGAATTGAACTTGGGTTTCGCCGGGTTCGTAGCGCAGCGCGCGGGCCAATGGACCGCCGCTCACTCACCTACTCGCCCACACTCTGACGCCTTGCTCAGTCACACTTCACCGTTTAAAATACAATTTCCTCTTCACAAATCGAGCGCCACATTTGTTCTGGATCGCGTGCGGCCGTTCTGGCCGCGACACCACAATGGTCCTCCCCCATTGTGGCGCGCACATCAACCAGCGGCGGGGTGCCGTGCCGTGCCGTGCCGCCCCACCATGGAAATTGGTCCGCGGAACTCTTGCAAAGACCGCTCACAGGTTTATCATTTTATTTTTCTTAACCGCGTGGTGGCTCGCTAACATTTTTTTTGTTGGTATTGAGGCTTCGGCGTGGTTCTGCCGGGCCCAGCGAGGTTGCGAACCACGGCCCTAAACCCAATAAGCGTTGAGAATCAACGGCACGCGTTGAGAGTATTTGTCTGCTGCTTATACACTTCTACGTGATGAGCCACTTCGTTGAGCTGTCACGTGTGGTGCCAGGTCGCTTCTGAAAAAGAGCTACATGGCACCAGTGGGCCTTACCTGGTAAAATAAAAACAATCAAATTAGTTGAGTTCCAGCAAGCGCCACCATACTCTATGTTTTGTAGAGAGCAGCGGTGGTGGGAGTGCTGATGACCATTATCATCATTATAATACTATTATAATACAACACACAGCAGAACGCCGCCACTTTTGTACTTACAAATTCTTCGTCAGGCCACTCTCCATTCACATCGTCTGCCTTCTGCGAGTCTGTGAAGTGATACGCACAGTAATTACCGCGTTTTAAACAATGACATTTTGTACGTGTGCAGTATATATTTGTAACTTGCGCACTTGCGATCGCGGGCTGTGGGATCTACTGCTGAGCCACCTGGCCCGGATTCACGTGACATTAGCTGCAAGATAAATAGTGAAATTGCCCTTATCCGTGCCTCCTTACTCTCCCTAGGTCAGGGGTTCTGGCAACCAAAATAACAAGAAGAGCCATTTTTGTCGAATTCGCACAAAAAATATAAAATCCCTCAATATTTTCAAGAGCCGCAATGCACTGTGGTGAATTCGAGACGGTCCATTGTAAACAACTGCCACGAAGCGGCTCTTGGGGCCGCAGGTTGCTGACCCCTGCACTAGTAGCTCAAGAGCCACCAAAGTCATTGAAGGTATAAACAAGATCATCCCAGGGGAATCACACTTCAAAGACAATCAATCGGTGGTAGCTGCAAGTTAACTGGTCTGCATTGCGTCTCTGTGTTTGCCAAATGCGCACTATATGTTTCAAGTTAATTTTGTTCGACCAAGGGTGAGAACTCAAGGATGGGTCTCATTTGCAAGAGCGACCCTGGGCCACCAATAGTACGTACAGTGAGGGAAAAAAGCATTTGATCCCCTGCTGATTTTGTACGTTTGCCCACTGACAAAGAAATTATCAGTCTATAATTTTAATGGTAGGTTTATTTGAACAGTGAGAGACAGAATAACAAAAAAAATCCAGAAAAACGCATGTCAAAAATGTTATAAATTGATTTGCATTTTATTGAGGGAAATAAGTATTTTACCCCCTCTCAATCAGAAAGATTTCTGGCTGCCAGGTGTATTTTATACAGGTAACGAGCTGAGATTAGGAGCACACTCTTAAAGGGAGTGCTCCTAATCTCAGCTTGTTACCTGTATAACAGACACCTGTCCACAGAAGCAAACAATCAATCAGATTCCAAACTCTCCACCATGGCCAAAACCAAAGAGCTCTCCAAGGATGTCAGGGACAAGATTGTAGACCTACACAAGGCTGGAATGGGCTACAAGACCATTGCCAAGCAGCTTGGTGAGAAGGTGACAACAGTTGGTGCGATTATTCGCAAATGGAAGAAACACAAAAGAACTGTCAATCTCCCTCGGCCTGGGGTTCCATGCAAGATCTCACCTCGTGGAGTTGCAATGATCATGGGAACGGTGAGGAATCAGCCCAGAACTACACAGGAGGGTCTTGTCAATGATCTCAAGGCAGCTGGGACCATAGTCACCAAGAAAACAATTGGTAACACACTACGCTGTGAAGGACTGAAATCCTGCAGCGCCCGCAAGGTCCCACTGCTCTAGAAAGCACATATACATGCTAGTCTGAAGTTTGCCAATGAACATCTGACTGATTCAGAGGACAACTAGGTGAAAGTGTTGTGGACAGATGAGACCAAAATGGAGCTCTTTGGCATCAACTCAAATCGCCGTGTTTGGAGGAGGAGGAGGAGGAGGAAAGCTGCCTATGACCCCAAGAACACCATCCCCACCGTCAAACATGGAGGTGGAAACATGCTTTGGGGGTGTTTTTCTGCTAAGGGGACAGGACAACTTCACCGCATCAAAGGGACGATGGACGGGGCCATGTACCGTCAAATCTTGGGTGAGAACCTCCTCCCCTCAGCCAGGGCATTGAAAATGGGTCGTGGATGGGTATTCCAGCATGACAATGACCCAAAACACACGGCCAAGGCAACAAAGGAGTGGCTCAAGAAGAAGCACATTAAGGTTCTGGAGTGGCCTAGCCAGTCTCCAGACCTTAATCCCATAGAAAATCTGTGGAGGGAGCTGAAGGTTCGAGTTGCCAAACGTCAGCCTCGAAACCTTAATGGCTTGGAGAAGATCTGCAAAGAGGAGTGGGACAAAATCCTCCTGAGATGTGTGCAAACCTGGTGGCCAACTACAAGAAACGTCTGACCTCTGTGATTGCCAACAAGGGTTTTGCCACCAAGTACTAAGTCATGTTTTGCAGAGGGGTCAAATACTTATTTCCCTCATTAAAATGCAAATCAATTTATAACATTTTTGACATGCGTTTTTCTGGATTTTTTGGTTGTTATTCTGTCTCTCACTGTTCAAATAAACCTCCCATTAAAATTATAGACTGATCATTTCTTTGTCAGTGGGCAAGCGTACAAAATCAGCAGGGGATCAAATACTTTTTTCCCTCACTGTAATCAAAACAAGAAAAATAAATGAAAGAAACATGCAACTTTATTGGTTTTATTTGCTGCTTAACTGCTGCACGTATTTGCCGTGAAGCAAGCATATTGCCTGAAACGTTGCCGATAATATATTTTTTTTCTTTTAAGGCCATAGTGTTATTGACGAGTGTTGATCTGTGCTTGCGAACCACTGCTTACGCAGCAGCTGGATCACTGCATCGTTTGTTTAAAGCAGAATGCACTCAGTCAAACACACACTGTGGGAAATTAACCAATGTACATGAATCGTTTCATCACTGAAATTAAGCGCTGCGATATTTAAGTCCATTGAGCAATGGGATAAAAGTTACTCTTTTTCAAATCGAGAAAGTTACTCTTTGGTTCTTTCGATAAAGTCACGTAGGTATAAAATAAAATAAATAACGACGTTTCGGACGCAACACAAGCGTCCATCATCAGGCTTTCCTCACCTGATGATGGACGCTTGTAATTTATTTTATTTTCTAACTACGTGACTTTTCCGAAAGAACAAAAGAGTGTGGATACCTGCAGTCACGAAAGCTTCAGATCAAGAGGGATAAAAGTTATTTGATGACACGTCATGATTTGGGCTCACAAATCACTTGAAGAAATTCGAATTTTTATCGCATTTATTTTTTTGACGTTGTCGTCTGTACGCATTTTGTTCCGTTCGCATAAATGTGCAATTTACACAGATCGCAAATAAACGAAACTTTTTATTTACCAGCAAAGGCCCTCTGAGCTACATAGTTATTATTTCAGAAGCGATATGGCTATCGCAAATGATAGCTCAACGAAGTGGCTTATCATCATCACGTGGGACTATGTCGCATGCAAATTCTCTGAAGGCGTTGCGATGTTGATTATAAATGTGGAGGGAAAATGATCGATTCTCACGCGTATCGTGAGAGTCGACATGCCTTCTGACAGAGGAACTGTGGCTCAGCTCGTCGTCGTCGTCACGAGCCCAGCATTCGAGGGCATGATCCCTCGACAGAAAATAGCAACATCTCAACAGGGGGGCCACAGCATAACCCTGGGGGTGCCAATTCGCTGTGCCAGCATACACCCATGGCCCACCTACGTTCGCCGACAATTGCTAGAACTAGGAGGGGATGAACGCGGACATCGATGGCCTTTTTCACCACGTTGCCATCTGGCGTATCCCACCCACCCCCCCCCCCCCCCACCCCCCCCCCCCCCCCACAGCACGCAGGATTTTTTAGTTATTTACCAGGAAAACCAAAGTTACACGAGTTTGTATTCCACCGCAGCCAACCGTGAAAGTTGCAAGGGCCTTTAATTGTGCAAAGTTGGTGAACGTAGGTGGATGTTCTTGCAAACCAAAATCGGGCCCAAGTGTCACACTTGCAGTGCACCACATCGTATAGCAGGCCGCAACATCGGTGTGCTGCGCCAGCAGCCACCTTACGATGTCCGTTGCATCCCACAACACAGGCCTGGAGGTTTCACAAAGAGTTGTCGAGAGCAAGGGGTCGACACCGGAGCTGCACACGGCTCTTCGAGGACTGCTGCCTTCGTGACGTTAGTTATTTAAGCACCACCGTCTCGTATGCACGTGCTTTGCGGCTCTTGAAATATTGAGGAGTTTTTGTTTTTGTTTACCGAAAACCCAAAAATAAATGTCACATTTTGATTTAAAGCTTTCGTGACTGCAGGGATTCATATTCTTGGTTCGTTCGGTAAAGTCACCACGTAGAAGGGAAACAATAAAAGAATAAAAATATAACAAAAATAAAATTCTCACGACGTTTCGACTGCAACACAAGCAATCATCATCAGGTGTGAAAACCACAGCAACAAAAAAATTGTCACGTTGTTATTTTGGTTGCCGACCCCCGTGGCTCAGTAGAGCCACAGTCAAACGAAACGACCTCACCGAGCAACCGGTTTCTCTTGAATAGAACCCCAGTGCCAAATAGCAATTGTTTAAAACTGCAACATTTCCCCCCCCCCCCCCCCCCCCCCCCGTCGTACGTTAGTGACTTAATAAACCGCACTCACCCATGGGCGTTGGACCGCTGGTACGCTGGCGGGAAGGCTGTACCACAGATTGGCCTCTGCCAAATCTGTGGGAATCAAGAGGCGAGGTTATCTGCAGCAGGCACTTGGCAAGCGGAGCTGATGAAAAATAACGGAGAGCGTGTGGAGATTAATTTCACGACGGCGTTTTGGCGACCGGAGCCAAGGGGACTTTGTTGAACGATTATGTAACCTCCGTTTGGTGATATTTTTGTAGAAATTGCACTATGGAACTGGCGTGCGATATTTATCCTCCTGCAAGAATTTGTCACCAGTCGGCAAATGTGTCAAGCGATGATGGCGAAACGCACACAATGATCACGGAGCGAGGACAGAGGAGCACAACTCCGCAGAGGTGGCAGGACGCCCACGCGCAGCCAACAAAGTGACCTTTATAGAAGAATTAAGCCGTAACTTGGTGACCAATACAATCGTCATCCTCAACGGCGGCGGTATTTACAAATGTGTGGAATAGCTGCATTGATTGAACCTGAACCTGGCCAATGGTGGAACAACGAATGTGAACGCCGTCACTCCAACAGCAGTGTCCTTCTGTTGCCAATGTTGAGGCCCAGATGGACATCGTCTCGGGTGATACTTATGGGACCTTTTTTTCGCCAGTATCAAAGTATAAAAAGTAAGAAGAGGTTTTACCCTTTTTGGCATTAAAACAGGAGGTATTAAGAGGTTCAAACACCAAGCAGAAACCTTTTGCAAGGAAACAACTTAGCATTAACGACACGTGCTTGTGGTGAACATGCAAACAAACATGCTCTGATAATATATGCATTGTCTTTGTAACTGATGGTCCTACACCAGAGACAGCCTTCTATATGGCGAACAGTACAATGCTATCAGGGCATTCATAGCTCATGGTGAGCAGCGATGTTCATTAATAGGATACCTTGTTTTGTACCCTCCCCATCCCTTCATTCCCTTGCGTTCTCTGCCGGATAATATTCACCTGAAGTTAGCGGGTGGTGGGGGAGCCGATACCCAGGGGCTTTGCCACCTACTGTACGAGCGGCAGCACAATTCCCCAGCGCTGTTCCCCAGCGCTGTTCCCCAGCGCTGTTCCCCAGCACTGTACCCATCACTGTTCCCAGCACTGTTCCCCAGCACTGTTCCCCAGCACTGTTCCCAGCACTGTTCCCAGCACTGTTCCCCAGCTCTGTTCCCAGCACTGTTCCCCAGCACTGTTCCCCAGCTCTGTTCCCAGCACTGTTCCCCAGCACTGTTCCCCAGCACTGTTCCCCAGCACTGTTCCCCAGCTCTGTTCCCCAGCGCTGTTCCCCAGCACTGTTCCCCAGCTGTGTTCCCCAGCGCTGTTCCCCAGCACTGTTCCCAGCACTGTTCCCCAGCTCTGTTCCCAGCACTGTTCCCCAGCACTGTTCCCCAGCACTGTTCCCCAGCACTGTTCCCAGCACTGTTCCCCAGCACTGTTCCCCAGCTCTGTTCCCCAGCACTGTTCCCCATCACTGTTCCCCAGCTCTGTTCCCAGCGCTGTTCCCCAGCTCTGTTCCCCAGCTCTGTTCCCAGCACTGTTCCCAGCGCTGTTCCCCAGCACTGTTCCCAGCACTGTTCCCCAGCACTGTTCCCCAGCTCTGTTCCCCAGCTCTGTTCCCCATCACTGTTCCCCAGCACTGTTCCCCAGCGCTGTTCCCCAGCACTGTTCCCCAGCTCTGTTCCCCAGCGCTGTTCCCCAGCACTGTTCCCCAGCTCTGTTCCCCATTACTTTTGGTGATTGGGCTTTTGCTAGCGTGGCACCCAAGCTATGGAACGCCTTGCCACTTGAGATCAGGCAATCGGCGTCGGTAGATATATTTAAGTCTGCTTTGAAACCCCATCTCTTTAGTTTGGTCGGTTGCCCTGGTTCTGTTTTTGTTTCCTGCTTTCCATGCATTGCGCATTGGGGACCTGATGGAATGCGACTATACATCTGAATTATCGTTACTATTACTATGCCTGAGCGGCAACACTTTTGTTAAGTCGAGGATATGGCCCCAAGGAAGCGAAAGTAGAGAGTCGTTTTAACGTAAACGATCGCTTTACACGACCGCCATAACTCCACTGCACGCACGCAAAAACAATATCCGAAGGGAATCCACGCTACGCACGTCAAAATAATCATTAGCGTCGGTGTACAGAATATAAACGCGAATAAATAAATAAGAGGACAGTACGTGTCTCCATATATTCGCATATTCCTCGTCCGTAAGATCGTCAGTTCACCTGCATTGATTCATGCGAAGCCCTGACTGCGGATAAGAAAATGAATATCGGTAACCGGGCCAGAGTTTGTCTTGAAACAATGCGAATGAAATGATGCACTGCCGGAATGAAGGCCACTCGGCTGATGGGTTGTGGAAGAAATATGTTGATATGTTTTAAGTGGAAGGCAATGATTGTGCAGGCATATTGTCATCTTATTCATCATTTTACATGTCGATAAGCTGGCCAATCAGGGAGTGACCGGGAGGTGAACATACATTAATAGCAATGACGCCATAGAATACGAAAACTAAGTTTTAGAAAAGCATTGATAAACTACACATTTTACAATAAAACTGATTTACACTGCGGCATAAACTAATTTACACTGTGAAATAAACTCAATTACATTGTGACATTAACACATTTATTTACATCTGCTTGTTGTTGTTTTTGTGTTTTTTCATTCCCCTCCACGTTTTTAGCACAAGTAAAATACAACTCAAGATTGCAAATGTCGTGGTTAAACTCATTCATAACGCACGCATGCATAGTGTACACACATGCATCGCGTACACGCTGTAACGCGTACACACATGCAACGCGTACACGCTGTAACAACTAATGAATGGCAGCCATTCGTTAATTCACTGTTTGTTACTCATTGTTTTTTTCGGTAAAGTCACGTATGTAGAAATACAATAAAATTATATTAAAACAAAAAACAATCACGACGTTTCGATCACAACGCAAGCGATCTTCATCAGGTGTCAAGAACAAATCACGGAGGAAAATACAACAAAAAGATGAGAGACGAGAATTCAACAAACCTGAAAAATCATTATGTGGAGCACATCCAGTCAGGCCAACAACACAGTTAGACACTTCCTGGCGGACCACGAATTTTATTGTATTTTTACATACGTGACTTTACCGATAAAACCAATGAGTAATTTCATGCAGTCACGAAAGCTTTAATACTTTATTATCACTGTTTGTTATTAGAGCCCTCCAACCCACGCACGCACATGCCGTGTTGGTCATGAGGAGGGTTGTTTGACCATACTTCACTGCACTGGGTAAGTGTGGATTGAGTTAAGGCTGGCGTAACACTGAGTTCAGTTATTATTATTATTACTCACGCCCGATGTCAGCCAAGGGCCAGGAATCGAACTTGTGTCACCGGGTTCATCTTGCAGTGCACTAACGGCTTTATATATATGGATATTATCTCGGTCTGGGAATTCATATTGATGAGTGATTTGTGTATGTGTAATACGTCGTGAGATACATACCTGTCAACCCATTATCAGCGCCTACCTTATTACAGACCAATTTACACCTTATTGTTCACCCCGTGCCCTTTTAAATCTCAACGTCCATCCTACAAAATCCCATCACAAGGGAGAAACACAAACAAATAGACAAAAACATGTCTTTGCCCATATTGTGAAACGGCTGTATGCGGTATGGACCTGAAATCTCAATTTCCTATGCAAGAATAGTGATAAACCGTATGGGTTGACAAGTATGGGGATATATGTGCGTGTAAATGGCTCCTACATGCATGACGAACGTGTACTTTACTTGCACTCGTCACAGTACGGTCAGGAGCAAAAGTATACAGACCGTAAATTGTAAGAAAAAAATGCTCCAAATATCACCTTCAAGGAAATGTTCTGTCGATGCACGGCATTGCTTTATTTCACTTGACAAGTGTGGCAATCAGCGATTCCACAGACGCTCACAAATGTCCACGCTAGTGAAGTGAATTGAAGGGAAATGTTGGAGGGTTATTTTGTCGCGTAGAAAGTACTACTTGGAGGGACAGATATGGGAAGGGAGTTGCAAAGCGATTGTCCGATTGTGTTGTACTACAGCTACTTCTACTCTCCAAAGCGACGCCAATAATCATTTTGTGTTCTGTATGAAGTTTTGCATGGAACACTTTGGCCCCTTATCCAAGAAAGATGGTCCTTGCCTCTAAAAATTGGGCAGTTCCACCAGCATTAGTTCAAGCAAGGCTGATGCTGCTGGCGAAGCACCAAAACCGGTCCAAAAAGTTTTGCTCGTGTTGAACCAATGCAGCTGAAATTGTGCACCAAGAGAAGGCCGTGGCAGATGGGATGTGAACAAAACGATGTTTTTTTTTGTTACGTGGAAGACCATTTTAGCTCAAGGGAACCTCAGAGTTCACCCTGGTGAAATGCTTGGGAGAATTGAGTCAAGAGAACTCTGTGGAAGACCAAAAAGTAGCTCGGTGTGTCTCCGGACAGGCACCGCTTGGAGCGGTTGCGTTGGTGGTAACGGGGAATTGTGCAGCGGAGAGTGGTGATGAATCTCGCGATTTGCGTTTGTCATCTCCTTTCCGAACTTATCTCGCTTGCTTAACGGTGATGGGCTGTAATTATGACCACCCTTGAAAGTTTAGGCTTGAACCTCTGGAGACAATTATGAAATGTTATTTTCCACATCGGAGGGGGGGGGGGGGGTTTCTCCCCAGACTCTTCGTTTGTTGCTCAAATGACCATCATTCTTATCATTCTTGTTATCAATATTCAATAATCCCCTTTGTCTTCCCGATGCAATGATGCCTCATTACTTTTCCCACCCGCCAGCTTTCTGTCTCCCCCGCCAGCTTTCTGTCTCCCCCGCCAGCTTTCTGTCTCCCCCGCCAGCTTTCTGTCTCCCCCGCCAGCTTTCTGTCTCCCCCGCAGCTACAACCAGGCCCAGGGCCTTTCCCAACTCCTCCTTAACACTCCCTCCTGTTCTACTGTCACTAAAGCTACACCACCACTTTTAATCATACCAATTCCTCGTCTCAACCCCTTAGCAT